TCCAAAAATCTTGACAGAGGACCACAAAAATCAGCGAATGGCTGCAGCGTTGAACTTTTTGGACGCTTACCATAAGGATGGTGACTCTTTACTCGATCGCATCGTTACTGGTGACGAAACATGGGTGAAACATGTGAACTGTGAAACGAAATTGCAATCAATGCAGTGGGGGCACACAAGTTCTCCCCAAAAACCCAAGAAATGCATGCAAACAATGTCGGCAAGGAAGATGATGGCGACTGTTTTTTGGGACAGAAAAGGTGTAATTTTGGTGGACTTCCTGGAAAGAGGCACTACAATAAACTCTCAAAGGTATTGCCAAACTCTCCAAAAACTCAGAAGAGCAATTCAAAACAAGCGCAGAGGAATGTTGAGCTCTAAGATCTTGTTGATTCACGACAACGCCCGGCCCCACACGGCAAATGTCACTCGTAAAGTTCTTGAATCTTTTAAGTGGGAGTTGTTTCCTCATCCGCCGTACAGTCCCGACCTGGCACCGAGCGACTTCCACCTATTCCCAGCAATGAAGAAGTGGCTGGCTATGCAGCGTTTTGATGACGACGCACAGCTGCAAGAAGAGGTAACGAAGTGGTTGAAGGCGCAGGCGGCCGAATTTTTCGACGAAGGAATTTCCAAGCTCGTACATCGCTACGATAAATGCCTTAATTTGTATGGTGACTATGTAGAAAAGTAGTATTTGAGTGTGGCTTTCATCTGTATATAATAAAATTTGTTTCCTATACTTTGTTTATTTTTTTATTCCAAAACGTAATCTACTTTCTGGATAGCCCTCGTAATGGGGTTATTGTATATCAGCCATATATTTATTTTTGGAGTCTCGAAGCTCTCCGAAATCTTCTCTCTTTTCGCTTTTGGGCATCTGGCATTCTGATATCATTCATCAGATTCATTTTGATCCTATTAAGTGCTGACAACATGCTTCAGATTACAATCTACTATAATCTAATTGGCCATAATATAGTAAACCTTTCCCAAGTGCACAATTGCTGAATGTATTTTCTTAATTCTTTCCATGTAATTTGATTCCACTATTCATATACAGTTCATTCATGCACATTTAGTACTTGCTGGCATTAGCTCAGGCCAGAAGTTATAAACAATTTTAAAGAATTTCCATCAATAGAAAATGAAGCCAAAGAAATCATACAAATCACAGAAGCAAATTTTGGAAAAAGGAACTATGTGATTTTGCCATGAAGGTTGACCCAAATAGAGAAAGAAGAGGATATTTTATGAAAAATATTGAAAACTCTGCACTCTTTATCGTGAAACCTTTAAAGAGTTTAATCAATCATTATTACAAGCAAAAAATCACTAACTTTTTTTAAAATTATTTGCATCAGTTACTTATTAAGCAGTAATAAAAATCTTTTCAATTAATATATATATATATATTAGTTTACAATAATATTTAGGTTGGTTTAAATTATACCAAACAGATTTCTTTTATAGTTAAAAGTTATTGTAAGGAACCAGATTTTGCCATATGCACAACATATTAATGACATAATCCCTCTGTTCAGCAAGGGTTTACTGTAATTCCATACGATTATTTTTCACTTCACCCACATAAAACAGTTGTTTTAATTTTTACTTAAGACATGTTAAAAAATTTTGTTCTACATCTGAACTTTGTGAAAATAGATGTCCTATGAATGTCCTACGAATGCAGCAAAAATTAAATACTCTCCGGATTTTATTGAAAACTTATAAAAAAGACAAGCTTCTGCAGTTATTTCTGAAATAGTAATGTTGCTGCAAATGCAAGAATCAAACAGAAGTAAATTCACTAGCATATTCCCCTACTATCCAATCATTCAATGCATCAGTTCCATTTTTGAAAGAGCTGGCTTTAAACTTGCCACAATTCCAGTCCCATTTATTCGCAAATTGTTAAGAATGATCAAATTGGACACCACCACAACAGATACTGCAGATGTGTATACTATTTCCATTCACAACAAACACACAGAAATTCAATATATGTGTTCAAAATCTAGAAAACTATTTTTAAGAACTGCCAAGCATAAAAAAGATTTTTATAAACTTTCTGCCAACCAGTATGTCAACAAAATTAGCACATCTTTGGCTAAATACAGCAACAGAATCAAAATCATCAAGAAAATGTGGCATAAAAGAAGCCTTAAAATAATAGTATTAGAAGTTGCCTCTAGACCATGTTGCTACAGAGATATCTTCCTTTCAGCATACCATATAGATAGCTGGATATTGATTCTGGAAAGTACAGTAACCTTGCAGAAAACAATAAAAGAGGAGGAACTTCATAGCCATGATGGGTCATCTGCAAAAGCTCATAAGTACCTTTAAATATGGTTTCAGCATGTCAAATATTTCATTTTTAAATTCATTCTAAATACAAGTGCTTTTTAAACTCTTAAATATGCATTCAAGCATTGCCATGCTGCAGAATGTCTACCAGCAAGCACTGATTAAATGGCAGAAAAAGCAAATGAAGTATCCCATGGACATGAGGATAAGCTTATGTCCTTGTATAAGGATAAGCTTATGCCCTTGTAAAAGGATAAGCTTATGTCCTTGCATAAGGATAAGGTTATATCCTTGCATTATAATTAGTTATTATTTTAGAATCATGACTAGTGACCACCCACATTTATAACTCAGGAACTTAGCAACCGTTTTTGATCTCAGATTTGATACCACCCATACTGGTGTTACTTCTTCATTCAGCTTCCTCTGAAATATCCTCTGACCATGCTAACAGTGGTGTTAGTATTTTGCTCAAGGGACGTGCAGCCTTTTTTTATGATCAATCATGTCACAATGCTGAGTCCCTAGTTCCTTTGATGAGCCATCCACTGAGCCATATGATTCTTGCCTGAAGGACTTTACTCACCAACTGTGGCCTAGCATTCTTTGTGATCACAAGTACGAGGGTTGGAACTTTAATAATGACAACTATTTATTTACAAGGAATACAAAAGTGATTCATGTCACCATGTTTTACAGTCCTTCAATATAGTCGCCAGCATTGTGTACAACCCGTTTCCAACGATATGGAAGTCGCAGAATACCTGTAGCAGCGCCTGTTTTGTTGATAGTTTGAATGGACCGGTCTACTGCCGCAACAATCTCAACAGTTTGGAAGCGAGTGCCACGAAGTGGTTCCTTCATCTTAGGAATTAAGTCATAGTCACAAGGGCTCAGATCTGGGGAATATGGTGGATGGTAAAGCACACCCCAGCCCCATCGCTTGAACAAATCAGTCACAGCTTGCGCATTTTGCATGACACAGCTCTCATTTTGCATGACAATGCTCGGCGCTGCATGCGGCCGAGCATTGTCATGCAAAATGAGAAGAGCGTTCTGCAGAAAGTGTCGCCATTTTTTTTCTCAAAGCTGGTCGGAGATTGTGCTCCAAAAATGAGCAGTAATACTGTGCAGTGACTGTCTGCTGTGGGGAACGGTATGCGTTAGGATGACACCATCACAGTCGTACACGAGAATCACCATAACTTTCACATTGCTGGGGTTCTGACGAAATTTCGAACGTCGTGGTGACCCATGATGACGCCATTCGTTTGATTGGTGTTTCAGTTCTGGCTGGTACTATCAGGCCCAAGTTCTCATCCAGCGTAATGATACGGCGTAAAAAAGCATCTCCTTTGTGCTCATAGCGCTCCAGGTGGGTTCGGGCAGCATCGTATCGTAGCCATTTCTGCATTTCCGTCAATTGATGTGAAACCCATCGTGAAGCAATTTTTTTCTCATGGACAGGCGTTCCTTCAGAATGTGCAGCACAGTCGTATGCGCTAATCCTGTTTGTCTGGCCAGCTGACGAATCATTTGGCGGCGATCACTGTCCATTAGTGCGGCAACAGCTTGCACGTCTGCATTGCTGACACTCGGATGACCTGGCCGCAGCATGTCTGCCACGTTTTGCTGTCCTTCATTGAATGCTTTCACCCATCTTGCTACAGTTCTGTAAGGAAATGCAGATTCCCTGCAAGCCTTTTGAAGCCCTTGATGACACTGTCGTGCTGTACGACCTCTGGCACATTCAATTTTTATCCAACATCATTGTTCTTGTTTTGAAAACATCCCGAGAACACTTACTTTAGACCGCGAGCTAATACAAGGATTCGTCCTTCGCGTCACTCCGCATGCGCTTGACATAGGCAGGACGAGTCTTTTTGCTGAGAGGTAAGGTAGGTATGTAGTTTACGTGTGGTATACGCGATATTCTTTGGTTTTGTTGCGTAGCGTTTTTTCAGCTGTGTTGCCACTATTAAAGTTCCAACCCTCGTAGTTAGTAGTAGCATCAACTTTACCCAACAGCTTCTGTAGCAGCTTTTTGTCTGCTTTTAAGTAGAGCCCTTTGAATAATATATTTAATTTTTTAACATACTTTCTGGGTTTCCATTTCTTTCTTCACTAGCGTTGTAAAATATTCATTATATTCTGAATTAGTTTAAAATATATGTTCTTTATGGCACCAGCTGCAAATTTAAAAACATATGCACTTTTACGGAAGATCTCATTGACATGAAAAATTAAATTCATCAATAAATTTATTCTTGCAATCTTCAAGAATTTTAACACAAAAATATGGAAACTTTGTTTTTAACTTACAGTAATTATTTTACTTTTATTGAACAACCTCACAAGTTTAAGAAACATTTTCACAAAATTCTATTATACTATATTAGAAAACTTATTAGAAAAATATGTTTAAGATAATTATTTAAAGCAGTAAAATTTGTTGCCATTTTTTTTTCCATTTCAAACACCTCATATATAAATAAAGACCTGAGTTTTTATTGCAACACTTTTACCACATTATTTATAAACCTATATTGCTTACATACAGAGGAGATGGATTATCAAAATGATTTCTTAAGTACAAGGAATAGAAACTGAAAATTATTTGCAGTAGCTAAATAATTATTGCTTCTAATATTCAATAATCTCTTTTCAAACTTACTGGAAACTCTTTGCAGGTGAATGGCACATACACAAGTGTAAAAGTAGAGTGATGAAAAGTTCTGCTGCCCACTACTTAAATGGTATTTGATAGGAATGTGAAACTTTGGTGGTGAATCATGATTCCTATACCACAATTTAGCGGAAAAGACATAACCATGCTTCCCCATCCACCATATAGATCTGACATATCTCCATGTGATTTCTTCCTGTTTCCGAGGGTGAAAAGTGCATTGAAAGACATTGATATGACATCATGGATGACATCCAAAGGGTTGTGAGGATAGTGCTAAACCAGAAAAATTCCAGGAAAAGACTTTTGAGATTCCTGCAAACAGTGGGAAAATCGTCGAGTTTGCTGGTCAATGCCCAAGGTTCTTTTTTTGAAGAATACTACGTGTACTGAAAGATTTTATCAAATAAAGTATGCTTTTTTATACTCAGTATCCTTACTTTTACAACAGACCATGTTTTACTCAATGACCTAATTTTCACTGAGCTGGACACATCCCATCCCAGGAAAATTTGCAACCACTTAAATAGTTCAGTTTGAACAAACAGTACCTTCGAATGAATTAATATAATATGTACAATTTCCATGAAAATGAATACCCTTACCTGCCTTGAAATTTTGAAAGACAACATGTACATGAAATTGGCAAGAACCCTACAGCAGTGATTTCAAACTCAAATTACATGTGGGCGAATGCACAATCTGAAAGCAGCTAATAGGCCTGAACATTTTTTTAATAAAATTTTAAATTTTACTTCTTATTTATCAAAACATAAGTAAACAATAACAACGGAAATAACTCAAATTTATATTTATTTTCCATCTGTAGTCTAAAGGTGCAAGAACATGCAAGAAATTTCTATTGATTATACTTTTTAATTCAAATGTATTGAGAACTAACTGACTATTAAATTTTACAATGATATTTATTTCAGGTGATTCCAATATTTTGAATTACTAAATAACTTACTTTTAACCTTAAGCAGGAATTTCAGAATACTAAAGTGCTTTAGGTGGCAAACTAAATATACTGACTGCATCAAGGTAGGAAAGTGTTCTATCATGTGGCCTAGCATACAAATGCAGACAAAATCTCAACTTATTTCTTCTTCCCCCTTCAATAGTAATTGCACACATATAAGCACAGTGTATCTTAATGCCTCTAAAACTATAAGCAGTTTACAAAAGATACATAACCGAAATGCATTCATGAGCCATATACACTGGTGTGCAAAAATTAAGGACGAGACGGTTTTTCAATATAACTTTGTACAAAAGCTTTCCAAATCAACACATTTAATATTGTAAGATCCCCAATACGTAAGGACATGAGTAATGTAAGCAACACTTACTAAAAGAGAAATCAGAGGGATAAAAAGAAGCTTTATTGAAAAAGTAACATGGAGCGCAATGCGACTGAAGGCCGAAACACATTTAGTGATAGGTGTCCAGCAAGAAACATCTGGTCTTTAATAGGGGATATGATCTCCCCTGACTGCTAGGCAGGCTTCACAGCGTCTGCCCATGCTGAGAATGAGGGTGTCAATGAGTTGTTCAGGCATTGCTGCCCATTCGTCTTGCAGTGCCAATCGAAGCTCCGGAATCGTTACTGGTGCTAAGGTACGAGCTGCCAAGCGTCTGCCTAGAAAATCCCATACATGTTCGATGGGATTGAGATCCGGAGATCGTGCCGGCCAATCCATACATTCAATATCCTCACTCACTAAGAGCTGTTCAGCAGCTACTGTGCGATGACATGGTGCATTGTCGTCCATGAAAAGGAACTGCGGACCCATAGCGCCTCTAAAAAGACGCACATATGGAAGAAGAATCTCGTTACAATAACGAGGTCCCGTTGACTGAACCTGCGTCGAAGATGTGAAGGTCTGTACGACTACCAAGCATGATGCCTTCCCAAACGAGAACACCGCCACCTCCATACCTGTCCCTTTCAATGATGTTCAAGGGATGATTGCGGCTTCCCCGCTCTCTCCAGATGAGTATGCGATGAGAATCGCTACTCAGACTGAATCTGCTCTCATCTGTAAAGAGTACTCGTCCCCATTCATTGTCTCTCCAATTCCGGTGTTCCCGGCACCACAGAGAATGCCTTCTCCAATGGGCAGGCGTTAGAGGTACACACCATACAGGGCATTGTGCAAACAGACCACCACCGTGCAGTCTTCTGGCCACACTAGAACGCAATATCGGTCGTCCAGTCGCCTGTGTCGTGTGTCTAGCGATTTCTCCTGCTGTCTGCCGCCTGTTTCTTCTGGCCTGTAAGGCAATATACCGGTCATCTGCGGGTGTGGTTCCTCGTGGACGACCACTACTAAACCCCCGGATAGCTGTTCCTGTAGTTTGAAATTGTCTCCAAAGTCGTGAAACGATGCTGTGAGCAATTCCGAACTCTGCAGCCACACTTGTCACACTGCGGCCTTCCTCCAACTTCCCAATGATTCGACCTCGGGTAAAAGCATCCAGATGTCGTCTAACAGATTGATTATTCGCCATTTCTCGCTGAGGCAGCAACTCGGTGTGATTTTAACTGCTATACGGCGTGCAATCTCTTTGCCAGAAATACTGATCTTACACGGACAACATGCTTTATACTACTCAGACACTCCCCCATTACGTCTACCTGCATATCTGCGCATGTGCTACCGTACATCACCTTACTTAATCTCCCGATTGGTCTTTCTGTCCGCTCTGCCTCTTCGTTCAGCTGATATGCTAATTTTAAGACTTCGTCCTTAATTTTTGCACACCAGTGTAAAGTTGCTTCAGAGCCTGCAGGTGTTCTGCAAGCCATGAATTTGAGACCACTGCCCTTACAGTATCTTACCATGCATTTTATGATGAAAAGCATATCAATACATTCTATCGTCTTTGGAAATTTCTTTCATTAGTTTTTAAACATCTTGTATAAATATAAACATATTACTAAGTAAAACAGAAGACCCTCTCATTATGCTATCACAAATTATTGCTGCAGATAAAACTCACTTATGCTTCTTTAAGACTTAAATAACAAAATCTTATAACATAGATTTAACGTTCACAACAGCAAAACTTGGGTATAACTTCTAAAAATTTCTCTTTTTGTGTAATGAGCTCTCAGTTATTCAGGTGTAGATTACCCATGCACAATAGTGTCTACATACATACACTCAATATTATATGCAATGTAAAATTAATTGGAAAAATCATCAAGGAATGATTTGGTGGTGATTCAACTGAGCCAAGCATATTTTAATGCTCGAGTGAAGTGAATATCATTTCAAATATCACAAAAACAGAAGAGGCTGAGAGTAATACTGAAAATACAAGTGAAGAAGACCATATATTCAAGTTTATAATGCACACTTTTAATACAGAAAAATAAGATCAAAATTTACAAGTGTACGTTATATGCTGAATGTGAAAATGATAGATTTAAAAATAAGGAAAAGATGACCATACAAAAATTAGATTTCTACATGTACCTAAATGCTGTTTATTTAAAAGAAATGACATTAAAAGACTTGAAAATTTTCATTATCTACATGGAAAATTTGCCGTATCCATCTTCCATCATATCTTCAGGCACATCATCGAGTTCTGTTTATCTTCACCATCATTATTGCTCTGATACAAAAACAAATAATTACCTTACATTCCATCCAGATTGTTAGTTATGTTTAATTTTTTAGGATTGGATTGGATTGGATTATTCAGTTATGGCAAAGCACACGAGGGCTATCTGCCTAAAGGGAGGAATGCCTTCATGGAGGACTTTCTAAGGGAAACTGGCTCGTATACACGTTACACATGGGGAAAACCACGAAAGCGCCCATGCAGCCAGCCCGCTCGCATGATTAGAACCTCAGACCGAACTACCAGTGTTCAGCGTCTTTACATTTTGGCATTGTCGTTCTTTTAAAAATACTACAGGTTTTAATTTTGTTCTTCTGCTAAGCAGGAAAGCATTACAGTGAGGTGACCGATTTCATGAGTTGTTGTTTTTATTTGAACCATTTTTGTTGCTTTCACATCAGTTGTTTTATTTCCTATCATACCAAACATTACTTACTGGTGTTTCATCCATATTTCCAATATATGACAGTAAATAATTTTTTGCCTTCATAGGCCAATAACATACTTCTGGAAATTTATCAATTTGTTGTCCAAATCTTTCTCAAGCCTTTGCGAATTTTTCTTTTCCTCTCAACAATATCAACTCAAAGTTTCTTTAAAGTTTTCACTTTCATTTGCTTTTTTTTGGCCCACTTTAAGGCAAATAAATGTACACTGCTGCTTGTTACAATTAATCCATTCCAGTGATATTCTAGGACCCAGTTTGCAACATTTTCTTTTAGGATAATCCATTTCATTACTCCTTTGCACAAAGCACATTTATTCTTTGGCATATTAATTATTGTGATTTCATTTTCCTTCCACTCATGTGTGAAGTATTCGCCAACACCAAACATTCTTGCTGCAGGCACAATTTCCATTTTCTTTCGCAATCTGAATGACTTTGAACCATTTGAAATCAGCCTATGTTTGTTTTATTTGACAGGAGCCATATTTACTACTAAAAGGATCACTAGATCAACTTCATTTCAACTAAAGAATATGTGATTTACAACAGCCTTCGATGTTCACTTCAAAATTAAGGCTTCAGATGACTACAGAAAGAGAAAACATGTGACTCCTAATTTCTTCAATTTCCTTCAGGTCAAACTGCATTTTTACCCCAAATTATGTCCGCCTTTTGTCGAAACCCTAGAACAGCATTCTTGTCTACAGCTGCAAAGAATACAACCATAGATTTGCAGAATTATTTACTCCCTCAAGCACTTCTCCCATACACATATTGTTGACCTTATCATTTGTCAATTCAGTATTTCATTGTTTTAAAACCTGGGAAAAATCTTTAAATGAATGACTTAAATATAAGAGCATTGCACATGTATTTTTTAGGTTTTTTTCATAAAGACTGAAATGACAGGTGTGCATTATATGCCAGAATATATGGTACATTCATCCAGACAGCAATAACTTTATTGAAACTCTGTTGGACTTCGTCAACCAAAAGGGATTTGAATCCAGTGATAAAATGGCAATGAAATCGTATGCAGTGAAATTCAACAAATATTTAAAACATTCTCAAAAACAAAGAAAATAACTAATTTTTTAAAAAGAAATAAACGCCTACAGTATGCATGAAAATTGATTTTTTTCCTATCCTTGTTTTTTAATTATCCGTGAACTTCTTCCTCAGCATTAGCCAGATAATTGAGAGTATATTGTATATTTTTTAAAAATTTCTCAATATATATGTATTACAATAAATAAATAAATAAAATGATACATACACCACAGATTTCATGACAGGGAGGGCAAACAATGGTGCCTATGTGAAGCCATCCTTGGAAAAATATTTGAATTTTTAACTGCTGGCCAGTATGGAAGCACGTGTAAGTATGATTGGCCACAATCACATTAAGACGTCCAGAAGCACACTCATACTGTGTAAGGATAAGAAGAAAAATATACACAGTTTTGTATACACACAAATACTATTTAACAACTGCATAACAAAATTAACAAAACAAAGAATTCATTAATTTCAAAACAAAAAAATTAAAAAATTAATCAGTAGAATACTGCCCATTAATATGAAGCAAATACATATGCTCATTTTAAAATTTGCCGAAAAAAAAGAGGAAGAGTGCTATCGATTTTGAGGGCAATCCAACACAGGTCCCCCCTTTTTCATCAGAAAAAAAAAAAAAAAAACTGTACCAAACTATGGTTAGATTAGGCAAAAAAGCCTAATTTTAAATATTGCATTCTCTTCCAATTTGAGTTATATTTGAGCATAGTTTTATAAATCATCATTCATAAGTAGTAGAATTTTAATTTTATATTAAACATTAAAAATTATATATACATTACATTATTAAATTATATATACATACAGAGATGGGTGTGTCATATATGCATCAGTCACCAACTGTATCACAGAGCTGGGTGTATCATATATGCATCAGTCACCAACTGTATCACAGAGCTGGGTGTATCATATATGCATCAGTCACCAACTGTATCACACAGCTGGGTGTGTCATATATGCATCAGCCACCAACTGTATCACAGAGCTGGGTGTATCATATATGCATCAGCCACCAAATGTATCACAGAACTTGGTGTATCATAGATAGATTGCCATTTAATTGTACTGTGAGAACAGGTGTACTGCATATGAATTTTTAGACATAATTTCTAATTAGTATCTTTTTTTGGTACAAGATGTAGCCCTTTGTCTACTGTGGTGGAATTTATCAAGAATGGAAAGTATTGACCTTTATTCCATTGCAGTAATTTCTTATTTTTGGTGTTTTGTTTTGAAATCATGAGTTGAGTAATGTAGATAAACAGAGCTGTCTATTACCTGTGTCAGCTGATATAAATACATGGGCATGTTTCTGATACTTCTGAAGACTTTTTATTTTTATTTTTTTTTTATTTTATTTTATTTTATTTTTTTTTTTTTTTTTTTTTTTTTTTTTTTTTGCTTTTGGTGATATGGGAATGCTTTAATGCTTTAGAAGTTTTATCCGTTTCTTTCAATGTTTTTTCTCTCTCTAGCATTGATGCCAATATTTTTGTGTTATTTAGCGAGATTTTTTTTTATACTTCAAATGGCAAGAAAAATATAATAAGTTTTCAAATTAATTCTGACAACTAACTGAGCATTCCTCTCATGAAGTACTAAAAAATTGGAACAGTTTGACCATAAATTTAATTTATGTGAATTTTTTTCCCAAAGTTTCGCTTAGAAGTGCAAACTGCCCATCATAACAAGACAGTGAGTGCATCCTGTCATGTTCACGCATGCTGTTCCAAGAGAGCATTTCGTGATTGAGGCATCCCCAAAGTGTGAAATATAAAACCTTTGTATATTTAATATTAACATTTGACATTGCCTACATCAGTACAAAGAAGATGATTTTTAAACTTATATGTTTTGGGGATAATATTATATTAAAAAATTATTATTATTTTAGGATACCTAACATAAATCTAGAGAATTAAGGGGGGAATTAATTATATATTAAATTTTCATACTGCCAATGGAGATGTCATGTAATGCCAGAAATAATGAACATTCACTTTACTACTAATTAAATTTATAGATTACTGAAAATTGTGCTACAGCAATTGGCTGTTGGAAGAATAATTGTCACATAGAGCAAGCCATGAGAAGGTAAATGCTGCTAATTTCATTTGGAATCTACAATGAATTCGTACCACTCAGTGATTTTTTTTTTCTTCTTACCTCTTAATGATCCTCCCAAACTATGAATGAAGTTCACACCGAAACTTTCCTTCTAACTGTTGAACTTCACGCCAGCTTAATACAAGAACAAAGCCATCAAAACAAACACAAACATACATTTGATCTATAATTCCACCGTACTGGCTGCTCATTCACCTTCTCTAACTATTTATGGATGATCTGAAGCCTTAGCAGGAGCAGAGACAATAATAAGAACGAATGCAATTCAAGTTACAGGGAAGTAGAAATGAAGGTATCTTATTGGATAATGTAATGTTAAATATTAACATGTATATATAATGCAGGCTTACTGGAATGTAAGTTTCTTTTAAACAATAACAATGTGATAATTAACAGTAGTTTATCCATGATTATTTTTAATTTCTTATGTTTTTATTATAACCGCGTCCTTTGGAAATGAAATGATTCACCAAATATTCCCCTCTTGATTTTCAATTGAAAAAAAGGGGGGCACACAAGGAAATATGGTAAATACAATAGAACTTTAATTTCATAAATTAAACTTTTGAAAAAAATATACAGAAATATCAGAATTCTTACGAAAACTTAAGCAACATATTACTTACTTTATAACAACCGCTGCCCCAGTGTTGCCACTGTCGAACCTGCTGGCATGTCCTTTCTTCCCACATTTCTTTGTTGTGATTAAAACATTTTGATCCTGGTCCATAATACTCTAGGGCAAAATTCTTCTCAGGTTCTAAATAAATAAGTAATGGTAAAATAAAAATTTAAAAAATTCAGTTAAGATATGAAAAAATTATGAATTTAAAAATTAGTTACATAACTATTCTTTGGCACTATTTTTTTTCCTATAAAGTAATAAAATTATTATGAACTAAGAAGGAAACATGTTAACTAGTTCATGCTGATATCACCTCTCAAATTTTATACAGTTTAAATTTTTAAGTGTGTTACTAGCAATATATGAAACCTGGCCTTCTGTAGAATATCTAGGCATTTTACAGAATGCTAAATACTGACTGGCAGTGTGTGAAATGATTAACATTTCATACATTTAAATATCAAACAAGCAAGGTATGAAATACATCTTAGATTTGTTTCGAATATACACACATTTAATACATTCATACATAATCCATAGATTTATTTCATCACTTCATACATAAGAAAGAAACAAATTTTGTTTTGCTCAACTTTCACTTTTCCTTATGTATTTTGAACAAACATTTTTGAAGGGCACTCTTTCATTATTTTTTCAAAATAAAATTTGTATTTTTGAAGAATGCACATCTTAAATAACAGCCTTATTGTGACCAATTTTCATCTTTTGCCTAAATAGCCATTCTATAGAAAGCTTACGTATTATATACAATGCCTAGTGAAAGTATATAATAATTCTCATATTTCATATTTTGCCTAAAAATACCAGGCATTCTATAAAATGCTTAGGTATTTTATAGCATGCTAGTGTTTCATACGTTACTGGTAGAAGCAGCTGATGACATACACTGCAGATACCAGAAATTATGAAGGCATCTGAAAATTAAAATTAAATTTTCAACTGTCTTTGCATCATAATAATAACTGCATTTGCATAATTTTATTGAGCAACCTTTTGCACAAACATTATCAAATCAGGGAATTAAGGGGGGGGGCGATTATGGCAATATGTTGATAGTTGCAGTTTGAGCTCTGATAGTCACCACATTTATGCAAAGTATTTTATAGTAACATTCCTGATAAATTTTGAAACATTTGCAGAGAATATCAGAAGCTCATTTTTGATATGGGACCTAAAAATGTATTAAGTTTGAAAGGAAATACCTGATTAAAATTTCTTTTGCAAGAATGATTTTCTAAGAACAATAAAAATGTACTATAAAAGGTGACACATTTGTGAACTGAAAGACAGTGAATCAAAGACAAATAATGCTGACTATTCTATGCACTTTACATTAAATGCACATTATCATTTAAAAAAAGTGGATGAAATTTTGTTTCATTTACTAATTTATTTGACTAAAAATATATTCTCCCAAAACACTGTCACAAGTTTTCTAAAAATATTTGCTTCTTTTAAAACAAATTTTAAGAGTATTTTTTCATTGAAAATGCTATAGTATTAAACTGCTATTATTCCATGATATATACCCCGACTGACCTATCCACTCAACCAATCAAAATTAACTTTCAGATATTGTTATTTGAAGGTATGTGCTCAAGATTAAGGATGATTTAAAACAAAAGAGCTGTCACATTTATGGTTACAGTGAAAAATAGCTCTGGACAAATGTGACCACGTTAAATGACACTTATTTAAAATGATAATGCAAAAGATTTATATTCTTAAAATACTTACGAGGCATATTCTCTGGAAACTGGCACTGAGAACCTCTAACAACTATATTGTTAGATTTCCATGTGAACTCCTAGTACACAAGTTAAAAAAAAATTAGTACATTTAAATTTCTAAGCTCTCTTATACATTCAATCATCGTTGGTTTTCAAACACAACAGAATTCCAAGAATTCATATGCCTTAGGACCAAAGGCTGTGTACATATTTATAGATCATGTCTTTCTGGGTTTTGTTTACATTTCTCCCATTCTAATTTTTACATTAAATTTAGACTGTTTGCATGTAAGTAACTAAGAAAACATATTCATATCTTAACAATTACTAATCAAGATTTATAGAACCCAAAACTATTATATTTTGTAGAAAATTATTTGACCTCCAACAAAGAGTTGGTGACTTTGGAGAGAAACATTTGTTTCTGTATCTTTTATGTCTATTTGAATGATGCATTCAGTGCCCCTATTTTTACATTCTTCTTTTTTCATATAAGAGACACACATTTCTCCCCTTTTTTTAGGGGGATATTGCTGTTCTCAACTCATAAACAACAATCTACATTTTGAAAACTGGAGGAAAAAAAATTGCACAAACTCGGCATTCCACACAACCTCTACACCAAAATCCTAAAATAAGAAGGTAAAAAGAGGTGCACGATGGCTTTAAGTAAGCCACAATACACTCCATGAATGCAGAAAGAGAAGTCTGAATTTTTACAGACTGTGATAAAAACTGCAGTATGTGGTCCATCTCTATGCTAAAATGCTGAAATTCCCAAAGGATTAATTACAATTTGCAGTCACATTAGTGAAAATGTCTTGAGAAGTGCAGAACCATCTGGGAAGGGATGCTATGTACATATCTGGGTTACCATATAGACACTTCTTGGAGATATCATGGGTTGTCACATGCCAGCATGGTGTATTGCCTCATTAATACTTTTTTGCAGCTTTTTTTTGGGGAGGGGGGTACCAAAAATTATGCCACTACAAGGGGAAACAAAGAGAAATTAGAGGGAAATACTTTGAGGAATCTTTTATAAAAATGCACCTCAATATTTTATGTAAACAAAAATTTGTATGGCAAAATTACTTTAAAATAATTTTTATGCTTTTAAATAAAAGAAAAAATAAGTACATAAATACACTGTTTATCAAAATATCTGCTGCAAGATTTTCCCTAAATTTTAATCCTTACACTAATTTTACCAGCACCTTCTGCATGTGCTTAACTATGTTAGTAACACTTAACAAAAAGTGCAAGTGTTTAAATTTTTGGATGGCACACTTTTCATCACCATGTTTTCCATTTTCGATAATAAAACTACAAATAACAACTTCTTCATTACTTCTACAAATACTATTTTTAATGACACATTCCTATTCAAAGCCAATGTAATGAAACTTAATTGTTGTTTGGAATGTAAATATTATATTAAAGTTGGAAAATATTATATAACATATGTCCAAAAGAAGGATATATCTAAAACTAAGAATGTGCAGATACTATTTATCATCTGTGTTCATCAAGAAATTAAACCTCTGATGTGAGCACAGAAAATGAATGGTAAATGCTGTCAATAAAATAAATCGTGTTTTCAGTGTTATAAATGTATATATTTTATATTAAAATTATATGTTATAAATATACAATATTTTTTGTTAAAAGGCTTATTAGCATGCACATATAACAAAATATTTTAATTAAATTTGTTATGCTGAAAATTTTCAAAAATAAAAATCTTGTATGTATTCAAAATTGAGTGTGGATTACACGCATTCACAAATTAACAAAATTAGTTATCTAAACTGTATTAACTAGTTGATTATTTACATTTTTCTGTTTGCCGAATCCATTTCTTGTCAACTAAAATTCTTTTACCCATGGAGTAGTTTTTATATCAAGGCACAAAAAATTTCAACATCTGTAATATTCAAGAGATATTATGATCTCAAAACCATGCACTTATCATTTGACTCTAGAATGAGATTGATCACAACACATTAATATTAAGCTGTCAGGAGAAATTTGATAACTCTCCTAAAAATTTCCATTATTTGCTGAAATTTCTATCCATTGCATGGATAAATATTTCAGGGTGTTTCACTGAACTATAGAAAATCACTTGCACATTTGATCTGACATATAAATGAGAGAGACTGCTTATACTACATGAGTTAAAATTAGTACACTTGGGAAAGCTAATTTGAGGAAGTTTGAGAAAATTGATGGAAGATTCCCATCATTCCTTATGGAATAATAATTCCAAGATTTTGGAGCAGAGGACTACTATCTTTCAGACAAATCTAACTTCAGAATCAGTTTTTTTTAAGAAAGACATCCTTCCCTTTAGGCAGATAGCCCTCATATACCTTGCTATATATCTCACATGTCATGCCTTGCAAACACACCCCATTCTGGACCTTAGTTTTTGCAAGCCAGTACTCAAAATATATAGTGAGCCAAAAGTCCTTTCAAGAGGTTGATGGTGGAATTCTCTCAGACCATCCCAGTGCTGTTCTCCCTCAAAACTAGGTAGAACAGTTAATAAGATCCAGGAATACCCAGGGTACCACTTAGCCTAATCGGGACCCGGGGCAAAAACATCTTTGGGGGCCCCCCTCTGCTTCCCTACTTCAGTAATGAAGAACTGAACTTTATGGATGTATTTAAATTTTTCATCTCATTATAGATATATAACAAGAAAATTGACTAGAACCTAAAATAACTATAATGCTCCCCTCCCCCTCCAATGGTCAGACAAAATATTGTTCTGTCCATTTTATTGACTTTCTGACAATTCTATGTCCATCATTAAAAGGATATAGCACATCTGAAGAGCCAAAATTTGACAAAAATGCTATTTAAATTTATAATTAGAAAATGTAAAGACGTTTTTTAGCAATTTGAGTTAATTAATGAAAAATACCATAAACAAGTCCTATACACTTACAGAATAAGCTAAAAAGCTTTTCCGATGCATTCTGAATCACTTTCGTAACATAAGTGCATGTGGTTCTGCTTCTTGTTTGTCATAGTAGTCCTATACACTTACAGAATAAGCTAAAAAGCTTTTCCGATGCATTCTGCATTACTTTCGTAACATAAGTGCATGTGGTTCTGCTTCTTGTTTGTCATAGTATTACATATTTTTGATCTGATATTTTGTTTAAAAAAAAGTTCATTAAAGAAGGAAACATAAAATAAACTTTCTATTTGCTTTGGGGCCCCTCTCTGATGTGGGGGTCCAGGGCAACTGCCCTGTATGCCCCTGCCTTAGGCTCTATGAATACCCTCAATCACCTATGGTACTACACAGGTGCTGACCTAGTTTGTACCTTATATCTGTACATTATTTGCAAGTGATAATGGCTTATCGCTTGTGAATGAAAAGGGATAAGAAGAGCTTGCTATGAAGATTATGTTGACATATTTTGTGAGTATTCATTCACTATGGATTAACATTAAAAGGACAGCAATAATTCCTCAGAGTTAGAATGGAATATTCAACAAGTTACTGCAAAACTGAAGGAAAATAAACACATTTTATACATGACAACATATATGTATGCACTGCTGCAATAACCTGCTAAAGATTTGGCAGACTGCTTCTGGTTTTGGTGTTTCAATATTACTTCACAGCAAAGAATTAATGATGAGAACTTAACAATATAGAACTAAGTTTTATGTAGCAGAATTGTGCAGGATCGTAAGGTTGTTTTTATATGCTTAAGCACTGACATATTTTTGATTAATTATTTATTCTTTTATTTTACTTTATTTATGTAATCTCTTTTTTTTTTTTCTACATATGCATATTTCCACTGAGCAGACAAAAGTGATATAAACTTTGCCAAGCGAGAAACACAGTATGTTTCATATAAAGTTACAGCACATGAGCTGGGTTTCATTTTCATTTTTGAGTATGTGTGATGATGATACATTATATGGATGGGTCTGTTAGGTTTTCGAATTTTCATGGAAATTAATTTTGTATGTAAATATCCACAGATAGGCCATTTTTTTAATAAATAAATAAGCATCTAACCTGTATATATGGGCAGTAATCTGCTAGGCTAACTGATCCACCGTACTTTCCTATTTCTGAACTTGGTACCCCAGGGATATAATCAAAATTCTGAAACAAATTATAACATTACAAAAAAATACACTTAACAATTAAAAATTTATACTACTATTTAATGTACACTACAGAAAAAGCTCAGCTGTCTGGAAAGCTTGAGAAATGCCTAATTTCGGATGATTGAGGATTGAGGATACAAAAAATGGAATTCATGGTAGAAAAGCCAAATCAATTCAAAAAAGAATTTAGTCTAAAATTATAAAAAGAGTCATTTTATTTGTTGTCAACTTTAATATAAAAAACCTACATATAAATTCCTTGAGATTTTGAAAGAAAAGAGGCTATTTCAGACATAAACACCTAAGTAAAACAATTATGTAATTCCCTAAATTATGAAATTTCACCAACCATGAAAACTGGTTTAGATCTTGCTACACTTAGAACTGTCATTCTGGCAAAAGTTTGAAGGAACAGATTGCCCCTTATTTAGTTAGATATCAACATATACAAGTTACGGACATAACATAAAAAAACTTTAAATGGCTTGTCATAATTTTTCACATTGCACAGTCAGTGATTATCTATTTTCACATGAGTCACACTTTTCTTGATGCCAATTTTGAAAATACTTTACTGCATGCTGTTCCATTGAAATAAAGTCCCACATTTTATTTAAAAATAAAAAAAAAAAAAAGTGATTGAAAAACAGCAGTTAACTTATGTTGTTTCTTACAAAAATTAAACTGACTGATCGAAAATTAATCGGTTTACATAAATACAAAATGCTTATCCATTACTGGCACAAAATGGCACCGTTTGGCAATAGTTCTTGTTTGAATAGAATTGTAGTCCTATTCCTATTTTACAGTGGAGTTACAAATCTCTTGTTTGCTAAATTTTAATGTTTCTAAATAAGTTTCTAAAATTCGAAAATATTCCAGTTATTTGAGCTTTCTCATTAGCTGAATGACGAATAGGTGGGATTTCACTTTACAATACATGGTGAAATGTAAATGTGGAAACACAATAAATACAAAGTATATGAAAAATGAAATGTTGATTTAGTCACAGATAATTACAACAAATAGTTTTAGATTTTACAAGAATTGTTCAAATAAATAACAATAAATTAAAGCTGCAATACATTAGCACAAAAATGGGTTTTGTTTAGGTGATGAATGTTAAGTGTTCTGAAGACCATATTGCCAGAATAAGTGTCTTTTCTGAAGAAGTATCATCTAACAAAGTGTGCTGAAATCATTTTGACATGATAATGCATGTATTGCAATTGGTGATTGTGAATAATTCTTGTAAATGCCCATGATTAAAATGATTTTTTTCATTTTTAACAACATTTATAATACTAATAACAACAATTTAACAACATTTATAATACTAATAACACAAATTTTTAACAATATTTATAATACTTATTTATAGTGTTTCTGCATTCATGTTTCAGATTCCGTCAGAGCCATACTAGGGCTTTCAGTGCCCAAGGACTATTGAATATTTTGTGCAGCTTGCTGTTTGCCAATAATGGAAAATATTGCATTCTAAAATTGTATAACATAAATTTGATACCACATGGAATCTATGCCCAGGGGTAGATGTCCTACCTTCCTACCCCAGGTTATGCCACTGCATTATATTATGAAAATTGTTACTCTCAGCACAGCCACACAAAAATAATACTTTAATATTAAAATATCAAAAATAGAGTGTTACACTTTACACTGAAAATTTGCATAACTATTATAATGAATATTTTTGACAAAAAACAATTGTAAAATATTGTAAAACTCAATGAATTAAAAAAAACTCACTTGAAAATTAGGGTGCAATTCTTTTGGATATTCAACTAAATTACATAGAGCTACTGAATCTCTACTATCAGTGCATTCTGTTTCCAGAGGATCTTTTTTGACTTTATCACAGTATGGGTGTATACTTTCACCTCTAAAAGCATAAAATTAAGTAAATAGGAAATTCACATGGATATGATACTAAATATATACAAGATGAAAAAGTAATTGAAGATACACTACTAAAACCTTCATATTAAAAAAAAAATCAAAAAAAGATTTTCTTCAAAGTCTTGTTAATAAACACTTCTCCAGTTTCATGAAGTATGTTTTAAAATGCTGAATACAGCATATGTAAGAACATTGAAAATATTTTTCAATTTCATATATATTTCAATAAATATAAAACCAAATACTATAAAATTATTTTATTGAAAAGCATATCGGATAGCAAAGCTGAAATATTTAACTTAATTTACCAAACTGCAAATATTTTCAGATTTAATTTTTATAATTATAAATCATGACTAATGGTATTTATTTATTAATAATGCAATTTTTTTATTATATGATATGTTAGTTTCTTGTTTAATATATTTTAATTCATGCACAAAAAGTTCTGATATTATTGCTGATTGCTTCTGATATAACATAAACCTCTGCTAAGAATACTTGCAAAGTAATCAGGCATAAGTTCATAAATTAACTATAAATTCTGTTAATGTTTGACACACACTAAGAACATACATTACTGAGAATGTAATTTTCTATTTCATTAAAATTTGTACTTAGTATCTCTGTTATTAATTAAATTTACAAATATTTGTAACTTTTTAAATGCTGATAATATTTAAAATTGACAAAAATTCAGCATAAACCGTCTGAATATAAATATTCAGCATATATTATGTTGTCAATTCATTGATTACAGTCATGTATATGAGCAGAATGCTTAGCCCTACAATGCCTAGGCAGTAATAAAGGGGCTCAGGGCCCTAGATTTTAAAGACCCTCTCCATATCAACTTTTTCCATAATTTTTTTCCTCTCATAAAAGTTGGCATTGAAGTTCCCTAAAGAAAAGCTATACCTAGAGGCCCAAAATGACCCAATGGGATTTTATATATTGTGGTTATTAATTTTAAGAAAGATGAAAAAATGAAAAGAACTGTGAAAGATGGTCTGTGAGAAATTGGCTCATATTCACTTTAAATATAGGAAAAACTAAAAACCTATATCATTCGGTAAAAATAAAACTGGAGATGAAATACTAACATTGAACAGTCTTTACATCCACTTCACCCCTGATGATTAGGCCTAACAGGCAATAATTTACAATATAATTTATAATTAGGCTTACATTTAACCCCTTAACTGCCGCGGAAAACGTACAAGATTCATTCCCCAGTGCCACGGTTTTCACATATCGGCGTAGTTTGCGATTATTAGGAGGAAAATAAGAGCAAGTTTTACTTTCAAAAATTGTTTACTTTCACAAAATAAACATAAAAAAAAAAAGAATGCACAAAATTTAATATTTGAGTAAAAATATAATAAAAAGATGTAAGTATAATAAAAATGATGTTTTTATAATAAAAAAGGTCCCTATAATGGGTTTTCGATCAATTAATTTTTAGACCAGTAAAGTGTAATATCATGTTTCAGTGAAATCAGTATGCCTATAAAAACATATATTTCTTCTGAATTGGTTGAATGCCACGATATTGTTCTTGATTTTTCGTTTGCAAGGTGTTGTTGGTTCATATACAAACGGTTAGTTTCAGTAGCAATATAAAGCACGAGCAGTTCATGAAAAAATAATTCAAAAAGGATAAATGGGTTTGAAACATCCGTTATCTTTCTTTATTCCTGGAACCTACTACAAAAAGTAACCAAAGACACAGAATAAAAAAAAAAAAAAAAAATACGTTTTACTCAACAACACTACCAATACCACGCATCATTTACTTTCAGCACATTAGACACGTCCCTCTCTCCAATTTCTCCCCACACTTCTCTGAAATAATATCCTCCTTCACATACTTCGTCAAGGTCATTCTGGTGTTACATTCCAAAAGTTTGTGAATAATTTAACATGTAGCAGCGCAAAGCAACTGATAGTATTTTGTAAGGGCGTATATATACGCCCGGGCCAGTTAACACATCGGCTGAGCAAGGCGTATATATACGCCCGCGGCAGTTAAGGGGTTAATGGTATGTTATCACAGTTAGTAAGAATTATTTAAGCCAAACACTCTTTTGCATAGAATTGCATGTATAAACTTTAAGGTTAATATGTGTTTATACCTTAACCCTCTCAGCGTTACGACCGGAAAATTCCGTACAGAAGGTTGCCTTCCACATTCATTATACATGAAATTTGCTAGCTTTTATGTCTTCGGATTTCAGTTTGGATGTATATTGGAAGAAATCAAAGGTACAAATGAAGTCATTTTTAATTAAAATCAAGAAAATCACTTATTCATGACTTTTGAGGAACTTTGAAATTTCAGGGCTAAACCCGTAATGCTCAGAGGGTTAAACATAACAGGTTTTCAAAATTCCAGAGGAAAAATATGAGTAGCTCAATTATTTTGCAAATTTATGAGATATAATAATACTTTTAACATATTTATTAATTCACAAATTAAAATTGTAATCATAAGCACCTAGATCGTCTCGAATCAATCCAATCTTTGCAGCTTTTAAATGCAAAATCACAGCCTAAATTTTTACCCCATTTGAGCTCTTGAGCCATCGCATAATTTGGTGCATACCACCTGCAATCATATTGAAAAAGACTATGCATTAAAACATTATGTAAACATAAACAAATGCACTCTACAGATTCATACATTCATCAGTCAGGTGATAAAAATGAATAACATATGCATCATTTACCCAGTGTCTTGCATAAGAGCTAATGTTATCCGAGAATATACTGGATTCTGAGTATGAGTTCCAGTCATAGCTTCATTCTGAAAATACTTTATTTAGTTAAACTCAAGAGAGAAGTGCATTAACATTGTTCATTGTATTTTTAATTAAAAAGAAGATACATGTCTTCTGCGGTGGCCTTGGCGATATAAAATTGCAATGGCAAAATTCAGGCTTAAAAGTTGATTGTTGCCAATGTTAACTTCTGAAAAGAATTGTCTATGGTAAACGATAAATTGGCAATTTATTCAATATATATATATATCACGTTATTTTACATAGAGAGACAAAGAGAGAAGGAATTTAACATAATGTTGTATTTATTATAGTATTTAATACAATTTTGATGGCATTTAATTTAAAATACTAACATAATTCAATAAAACTTATTTAATATACATATATTAATTATCATATTTAATACGATAATGTAAGGAATTTATTTAAAATAATAGCATACATAAACATGCCAAAAATTCCATTTATTATTAAACATACAGTGAAATTTTTTTATTACAGTCAAAGTCATTATCCGGACCTCGGGGACTTCGGCGATTCTGGATTATCAATTTTTCCAGATTATAGACCATCAGTTTAAATCTGGTAAGATAGCATGCAGAAATTATAAATTAAAATATGAAACCATAATTTTATGAAATAAGACATTATGATCTAAAGGGTATCAAATTTACAAAAAAAAGCTTAATATTTATTTGTTTACTTTACTTTCTTCGCTATCGGAAGCGAATTATAATGACAAGGAATTTGATGTAAATCATATGAAAGACAGAGTACATCGAGATGAAATACTACATTTAGTAAGGAATTATAAGCCAAATAAAATAAAAACATCTGCCCTGAAGATAAGGATAGTGCTGACAGATCAACTTCCAATTCATTGTGCGCTGCGGCGTTCCCCTGCCGCAGAGCAGCGTGAAATTGATAAACAGATTTTGGAATGGATAGATAAACAAAGGACATGCCTTTATCCATTTTTTGCAGCAATTCTACTTTTTGTTTAATGGACTTCGAAACATACTTTCGCTTTGCAGATACTTTATATATAAATATAATATATATCGAAATTCTTTTGAAATAATGGAAAAATTAAGCTTACTTTTATAAAATTGCTCTAACAGTCTGCAAAAAATAATAAGCCAGATCCAATTCGAAGATTAAAGAACAACGCAATCTGCAACATTAACTGAATTAGATAATTTTAGCTCAGCTTATACCGTCCGTTATACATTACAACGCGCATGTGTAAACGTATTTTGGGCATGTGCACACGCATATTCGTAGCCGTAAAGGTCTTACGTGCATGTGTCAACGCGACGCATGCGCAGAAAGTTTGTAGCTTTGAGGTCCGGATTATGGGTGTCTGAATTAATGACTTTTGACTGTATTTTATTTAGGCAATCAGTGCCAGAATATCGTACTTTATCGTTCAGGAAACACTCTTTTCAGAGTTTTTTCTCTGCAATGGACTCCAAAGTGGCAGAATTTCCTTATCCTAAGGTTAACAAAGATGGCCCTTTACAGTTATTGTAAATAAATGAGAATTTCTATAATTAAGGTAAAATAACACGCTGAACCAATATTAATTTAGAAGTCAAACAACAAAAATCAACGTTACATTTGTAAATTTTCACAGGACTAGTTTCGATGGTTTTAACAAACCATCATCCTCAGTAGCTGAACTCCTGTGCAGCCATTCTTATCTTATCACTATATCTTATCCCGTTCATTTGCACTTTGGCAGCCAAGTATAATGGTTCGACAAAACCATCGAAAATAGTCCTGTGAAAATTTTCAAAAATAACGCTGATTTTTTTTGTTTGACTTCTAATTAAATGAGGGTTTCTTCTCCAATATGAACTGATAAGAGGTCGAAGTGCAATGTCTAAGGTTTCCATATTTCAAAATCTTCCCTTTGGGACAGATACATTATGTTCACAAATAGTTATACAAAAATGTTCATGAAGTACTTATTAGCTCTGCCATACATTAACAGGCTTTGAATGGAAAGGAATTGATAACTGTAGGTTGAATGAAAAACAGAGAAAGCATTGGTCATGCTTGTAATCATGAAGTGGTAAATAGACAAAGGACATTCTTTTTGCTGGCTAGAAATGTTAACTTCTGAAATTTAGATAAATTACTGGAAGAACCATTTTTGCAATTTGTTATTTGATTAACTTGTATCATATCAAAAATGCCAAGCGAAAAGATAAACCCGAAAGAAAAGGATAAACTGTTAAAATGCTTTGATGTTCTTAGCCATAGAAAAATTACATTGATACTGGCTATTTCCCAATAAGTATTGTGCATTTTACAAGGAATTACAATTAACAAAGCATTAATAAAAAATGCAAATGTCTCAAAGAAACGAAGAAAAAAAGAAGACAGAAAATCAAGGGACACTGAAACTGCTTTTTTTTTAGAATGGCTTCAAACTATTAAAATAAAAAATGCTTCTATTTCTAAAGCTTTTTTCAGTAATTAGCTAAATACTAGGAGAGAATTTTGTATTAACTGACAGCTAGATTACAAGTTGAAGAAAGAGAAATCTAATATTATTCATCAATATGGCATAGTGAGACGGAAGAGGCAGATCATCATGCAGATGATAACTGGATAAAAAACATTTTACTTAGCTGCTAAATAAATACAAGCAAAATGAAATTTACAATGTAGATGAAAATGGACTGTGTTACAGAACATTATCAAAACACAAATTAATACTCAAAAATAAAATAGCAACTGGTTTAAGAAACTAAATGAATGAGTTACTGAGTTATTAACATGCAACACAAATCCAATAATTAAAAAGATATCGCTAGTAGTTGTTGATAAAGAAAAATGTGGTTTCTATGTAAAAGAAGCTCCAGAGGAATTGCAAGCTATAGGGAATGTTTGAGGCATCAGTGAGAGAAATTATGAAGATTCATTTTTATAATACGAACCACATCGCAAAAATATTTAGACAACATGTGTAAAAGCTGGTCATAAAAATGTTAAAAAAGCTGCAGAAACTAAAAGCAAAAGTAATACAGAAAATAGTTATGATACGTCGATATCAAAACTGAATCTAGAAAAGCACTCAAATTCTAAACAAAATTTTTGCAGTTAAAAGCGGTGATAAAAAAACTGCCAGTAGTTTTACAAAATTGAGAATACAATTGAATATATAGAAAATACAAAAATATTTTTATAAAGACTATAAAAATGAATTTCAAAATTGCATAAATAGTTTATTTTAGCATTAAATTTAACAATAATTTTAGGATTAATTACTGAATTAGTTGTCAGTTATTTTTCACTTGAAAGGTTTAAAACTTATATTACAATTTGCAATACACAAATTGCTGTTTATTAAACTCAACTGCTTAATAAATTCAAATATGTTTGGAATAGAAGTGATTTTAAAAAGTGGCGAGTATTGTGTTGGCAAAATGTCATTACAAAAAAAGCAGTTAGGTAATTAACCATTTGTTTATCACACATGTGCGAACAGGTAACCATCTGTTTCTTGCCAGTTAGTAATGTGCCAAATCCACTTTCCAGCCAAGGCTGTTACAGAAGAAATGTACCAAAAAAAAGTTGTAATAAAAACAGATAAAAAATAATAATATAGGAAACTTGCAATATATTACAGAAGCAAATTATTTAATTTATAAATTTAAAGTATCTGGGAGTGAATCACCTATTCATAAATTGGATTTTTGAAATAGGTAGCAACAAGTTTTATTTTCTTGACTACTGAACCTAGAAATATTATTTTATGGAGACATATATACTGGAGTTTAAGCCATATCATTTTATGGAGCATGGGGAGGGGTTTCATAACTGAGGATATATTAACTTTAAAATTATGTTTGCAACTTAAAAATTTTAATTGGAAAAATATTCATTTTAATTAGTTAAAATAAAAGGTCACATACCTTTACGAACAAATTTTTCATAAATACAGTCAATAAAAATTTCACCCAAAATGAAGGTGACAAGTACAAATTTAAATCTAAGTGCTATTTTAATCAAAATGGAGTAAGTAAAAACAGCTTCTGATGTGCCTACTCTGTCAACCCTACTCCCAAAATTTTGAATTTAAGGAGGTAATGAAAATTTTAAAATGAATTATATCAGTAAAGTCATTTTGGATATTAAAGCAGGAACATTTTGCTTTTAATTATTGTATTTACTCATATACTCTTCCCATTTCACTTATTGAAAAATTGGCATAAAGGTATAATGGAAGAATACTATTAAATGTATACATGAATAGATGCATTAATATTTACGGTTAGTTGCTACCTTTAGTACCATGTTTCTTTTATTTTGACATTATATTTTGCTACCCATTTCTTGTGCTACCAATATAAAAGCAAACAATCTTATTAAGTTACTTAATTTAAAATAGGAGATTGTTATTACTGGCAAAAGTTTATAATAAAAATATTGAAAGGAAATAAGGAAGAAGAATACTGTGAAATGTATATTTGAGCTCATAATACAGTAGTTTGTAAACGTTTTTGCTCCCATGCACCCCTTTCACCATTGTTAGATGATTGTGCCCCCCTTCCTTTATAAAACATGAAAAATTCACATGCATTTATTTAAAATTTAGATTATTTTTTATGTGTTTATAAATTAAACAAGAAAAAATACAGAAAAAATAAGTACCAACTAAGAGGGAAAAACTATAGCACAAACATAGTGACCAAGATCTAATTAGAGGATGTAATTAATGCATTTACTGAAATTAGATTCATAAAAGTGCAAGTAAAATGACTGCAAGTATTCATATATAGACATGTGTAAATTATTTTATATAATTTGGAAAGATATTGAGCTAAACATTGTTATTATTAATATTTGTAAATTATTGTTATTAATATTATTTCACACATTCACATTGTTTTTGTTAATATTTTACCCATTCAAAGGACTTCCAAAATAAACCTTTGCGCAGGTACATGAAATATTTGAACTTAGCATATTGGCATAATATCTAACACAATGATATATATTCCCAATTAATTTTACCTCAAACAGTCTTTTCTCCCAGTGAGTGAGAACAGTCCCATCTTCACCTTGGTCCTCTAGTTCAGCTCCTTCCAAGTACGAACAGTTAAAGTGCTTTCGAACTTCTTTCTGTAATGGACAACCAATTTAAAAATAACTCAAATTCAGAACAAAATAAAACATTAAAAGAGGTGTGAAAATATAAATAGTTATTTATTTTATTTCAATGCTGGCATACTGTTGTCTTTGGCTGCAGATTTACCCTAATATTGTGCAGAAAATCTTCACAGAATATACTGGAAGTTATAGAGGGGCAACATGTTTACACACAATGTTATTTAATGTACACACAACTGATTTTAAATCATTACATTGTGGTGCTTTATATTAAATCAATGTTCTCAGCTTTTATACCAAAATAAATAGGAAATGTCCAAGTTTTGACTATGGGGATGGATGAGGTAAACCTTGGGCATGCACAGAAGCTTTCTTTATGGTATGACTTGTTAATCTTGCTTGTCTGATAGTAAAATCAGAATTAAGTCCATGAATTTTATTGTGGAGATGCACAGGATTCCCTATGATATGGCCACAGATTTTGGACATTGCACATGACAGTACAGCTTTTCCCCAGTTTCATCCAGATTCTGAGGGAGAATGGCCAAGGTGTGAATCCAGAGATCTTTCACTCCTTTTTCCTTACCACGAAATCACTGGACAGGCCTTTTGGCTCGCTGTGTATTTTAACTGCTAGCATGCAACAAAGCTGTTACGTTAGGTGCTGCTTAATGTGATCATGTTTGTTCATGGCTGTTTTAATAACATAAAATGATGAAAAAAAATCTTTAAAACAGCAATGGAATTATAGTATAAGAAACATTTAAATAAATAATTTCACAGAAATTTAATTAGGAAAATGCAAAATTTTTTTAAAACTGTTCATAATGTCTAATGTAGTTTATCCTTCAACTGTTCATAACATTTCTGTAAATTACTTGACTGATACTGTACCCTAATCTTAATACAGTCAAAAGTCGTTAATTCGGACACCCATAATTCGGAATGATCTATAATCTGGACCTCAAAACTAAAAACTTTCTGCGCATGCGCCGCGTTGACACATGCGCATAGGCGTTTACGCGTGCGCGTAAGACCTTTTTACGACTGCTGCGCTATGAGTGTGCGCAAGTGCAATACGTTTTCGCGTGCGCGTTTTTTGTATAATGGACGTATAAGGTAAAATTATCTAATTATCTATTTCAGTTAATGTTGATGATTGCGTGGTTCCTTAATTTTCGAATTGGATCCGGCTTATTATTTTTTGCATACTGTAAGAGCAATTTTATAAAAGTAAGCTTAAACTTTCGATTATATCAAATAGAATTTCCGATATATATTTGTTAATGTGTAAAGGATCTAAAGCGAAAGTATGTTTTGAAATCCGAAATCTGTTTATCAATTTCACGCTGCTCGGGGGGGGGATCGCCGCGGTGGGCGCGTAATGAATTGGAAGTTGATCTGTCAACACTATCCTTATCTTCAGCGCAGAATGTTTTTATTTTATTTGGCTTATAATTCCTTACCAAATGTAGTATTTCATCTCGATATGCTCCGTCTTTGATATGATTTAAAAACAAGTTCCTCGTCATTATAATTCGCTTTCGATAGCGAAGAAAGTGACAGAGGTTATTGAAAACGAAAAAATTTCGATTGACAAATTAGTCGGTGTTCTCGACACAAGCAATTATAGGACTTGAACAGCGGAACTTTTTTAACTGAACAAGAAATTATGTCTGTTTAATAGAATTAAAGAGAAAGTATTATCACATGAAACGAAGCAAAACTTAAACAACTTACATTGAAAGAAATGTTTAATAAAGTAAACATATAAATATTAAGCTTTTTCTTTTTGCAACTTTTGATACCCTTTAGATCAAAATTGTTCTTTATTTCATAAATTACGGTTTCATATTTTTAATTTTAGAATTTCTGCATGCCATCTTACGAGATTTAAACTGATGATCTATAATCCGGAAAAATCGATAATCCGGAATCGCCGAAGTCCCGACGAGTCCGGATTAACGACTTTTGACTGTATTCCCTGGAAGAGACCATGCCAAGGTAAAATTTTAAATTCAGGGGGGAAAAAACCCATCTTAGTTTGTTATAAATGATTATTGTAGCAAGACACAATGTCATAGTTTTTTTTAAGGGGGGGGGGAATTCTGCACTGCAGAAGACACATCGTCAAAAGATTTTTTTGTTAAGGGAACATAGATGCCATAGATTATTTTTAAAAAAGGTCTGAATTAAAGACAGAATGCCATAGATTTTTTTGGCAGGAAAATAATTCTGAAGTATTTTTTTTTTCAGGGAAGGGGGAGCTCCAGAAGAAGAAAGACATACATCTGATTGCTTTCAAAAATCTACGTCAAACTAACGTTGCCTTTTTGCCTACTTTTAATGGTTGACTGAAATCAAAAACAAGCTATTTGGCAACATAATCCTTTATCTGGTTGCATCTGTCTGTCACTTGATGAATTTTATAATCTATTTTGATCTTATTTGGAAAATGTATCTTTTATTTGGCAACTTTAGTTTAAAAAGTGATCAAATTAAGTGATGTATTTTCCATGTTTTTTTATACAAATGGGCAAGACTTCAGTTCACTAACAATGTCTGAATGATGACACTAACGATGATCACATTAAGCAGTGTCTATTATAAAACTGTTTAAAATTAGGCCCATATTTTTTATGATTCTAAATATAATGTTGATGACTTACTTGCAGTAAGTTTTTTAACTACAAAAATTTTAAATATGTGATATTATTTAATAAATATATATAAAAAATTCAAATTTTTACACCTATTCTTTTACAAAGAATGTTCTACTTGCAAGTCATGCCTTATCCAGAAAAAGATCTTTTCTGGAAGAGAGAAAAAAGATCATCAACATATAAAATTATCTCTGTGAAGTGTCAAAACTTTATGACACTTAACACTTCTCCATAATGGAAAAAATAATGGGCAGGAAGTTAAGCCTTTTGGGAGCTGTGTAAATATCACTTTGCTAGAGAAAAAATTTTGAATACTGGAATTTTCTACAATTGGAAATTTGAACCCTATGCACAAAATACAAATATTTTCCCAATGTTAGAAGTATCTTTTAGAAGCACACAGAACAAAATAAACAGCTGGCTTTAACAACATTTGCATATAATGCCTCCAAAATTTTAATTAATGCTATCTCAATCCTACCAGGATACATATGTATTTTTTATTTGACTAAAAATATTTGCCTTATTAAGAATGGTTTCCTCCAAGGCTGTATAAAAATTTTAATATATGTATATTGTAACTAAAGGGTTATCACAAGGTCAGAATTGTCCCTATATGAAATAAATACCTTATTTGATTTATGTTTTAAACCAGTTTACTATGCCCAAATGATTTTTAATCAGATAATCTTTTTCAAACACCCTTCATATAAAATATTACATGCACTCATTCTAATATTTTGATTAGATAAAATATTGTTTAGAAATGGAAGAAAACTTATTAAATTAATGTATCATGACAAAGTCACCCAGATAATATAGTGGTTAAGGGAGCCTACTAGCATACTGAAGGGCACAGGCTCAAATTCCAGAGAAGGCATGGTTGTAATTATCTGTCCCTTCATAGGAGGTAATGATGGCCCACCTATTAGGTGCTTCTACAATAAACTGGCCACCACTTCCAACCTTAGTAGTGGCCAAACCTAAGTCGGCTAAGTGCCCATCAATGGGCAAAAAAAGAAAAATGTATCATAACAATACAAAATAGATACTCAAACAACAGAATTAAGGCTGGACCAATTAATCAAGTACTGACTAATACCAAGATTGACTGTAGTACATCTTTCATGCAGTTCTGAAATAATACTTTTATTTACTTACTTTACAGTTTAATGCTTTGTGCAAATTTTATATAGTCTGTATAAACTCGGTGGCATATCTACAAAGTTGGGATACCTCTATTGAACTTTTTTCGGCCCCTAAATTTAAGACATTTGGTAGGTTAAAATTTAAAAAAAAATTCAAAATCCGGGAACTTCTTATTGTGTGGAATCCCATAAATTTGCTTCAGTTTAAACTTTTTATTTTTCCATTAATAAGTTTAAACAATACTTTAAGTGCTTCAATATGCTTTTGAAAAACTACATGTTTACTTCATATTGTTGTAAATACTACTTACAAATATTTTAATCTTTTTTGGATTGTATTTTTTATTTTCTGCATTGTTCTAGTATTTTGTATTGTTTCATTTATTTATTTCCTTTATTTATTATTTCTAGAGTGGTAAATTTATGGTTTATTTTGTATTTAATCTAATTCGTAGCCACATATCTTGTATTTAAGGGTTTATTTGTTGCAGAGAATTATAGATTGTTTAATTTTTTTAGCACAATGGCATTGGAATTGTATAATAGCACCACTGGAACTTGATATAGATGAAATTCCATACCTATGGGACCTTGGGGATAATTTTCATCGATAAGATGGTGACATTTGGCAATTTCTCAGCAACTTTCTTGAAGATTCGAGAAAACACATTTTCATAGCTCTATGACCCATCATCATTCCAGAAGTTTCCAGAGCCAATGCTACAGAGTATATATATATGGGTCAAAGAGCTGTGGAGTTCAGTTGAGAACTCTGCTGGGAGACTTTACCTTATCAGTGGATCAGGATTTACCTTATCAGTGGTTATATGAACAGCGAGTTAGGATTTACCTTATCAGTGATTTAAGGAAAAAACACCGAAAATCACATGTTCTTCTTAAGTTATTTCCAGCCATTATTGTGCTGTGTGTACTATTTATTGTGTCTATTTCTTAATAAACTTTTCATTTCTTCCTGGTTTTCTGGACTTATTATTTAAAGAAACATCAGTGATCCCACAGCTCACAACAATATTTACCTGCACATTAGGAGTTACAACAATTTTGACAGTTTTCTTTAACACATTTTTTCCTCGTACTTTCCAGTCTCGTCTCTCCACTTCTCGAATGACTCGTTCACTCCATTGATGGGCTTGGATCCTATAAATTAATTTTCATGTCAATTATCAGAAATTGAAACAGAAAGTTAATTAATAAAGATTTCTATCACATAATATAATAATTATTATTTTTAATTAAAAACATCTTGAAATAAAACTGGTAAAGGTTCTATATTTCAATATTAAAAAAAGGTTACAGTTGAAAGCATTGCGGACGAAAACGTCGCAAAGAAAACAACACAACGCGAAAATGTCATGGTACAAAACATCGTGGGAGAAAAGAAAGGAAAGAGATAACATCGCAGTTCTCAAACATTGTGGTACAAAATATTGTTGACGAAAATAAAGTGGTTTAAAAACATCATCGTCGGAAATATCGTGGTAAAAAATAAAGCACCTACAAATCATCGCATGAGGATAATATCGCACACATGCGTTTTTCAAGTTTTAAAAGCTGTAAATGCATATTCGCATAAAGATTTGGAAGCGCAAGAAATGCTAATGTCATTTTAAGAGCAAACGGAAACAAAACAAGACATAATTTTCACCAAAACAGTGTGAGATTAACAAAAGTGAAAGAAAGTAGTTTGATAATTAACTAAACAATTTTTATAAAGGTAACCTCATGCAGTTATTTATCTTCCTTTTTCTAAATATTTTTTGGCTGTATTTTTCATGAAAAATTATGAATAAAGCTTTATAAAAAGATCAATTTATTAATAACCTTTGTAAATTAACTATGTAAATTTAAAATTCTATTAAGTGCTGTAAGTTGCATTAATTTTCAATTTTTAAATGCTTAAGTTTCCTTCTTACTTTTTCAGTAAAAGTTAATTAGTTATTTCAAAAATATGAAATATAAAAGTAAAAATATCCCTCTTTCCTTCTTGTGCTTTCAAATCATTATGCGAAAATGCATTTTACAGCATTTAAAGTGTACGATGTTATCGTCATGCGGTGATTTGTAGGTACTTTATTTTTTACCATGATATTTTCGACGACGATGTTTTTAAACTGCGAAATTTTTTTGAACCGCTTTATTTTCGACGATATTTTGTACCACGACCTTTTCGCCTTACATTGTTTTTTCCACGACGCTTCCATCCGCGATGTTTTCGGCAGACACCTAATAAATTATTTTTGAGAGTCACATAAAATCAGCCATAATCATTAAAAAATAAAATGCTCTTTAAGAAAGTGGGAAAATAATTAAATATAAAACCATTATATTGTTTGTTTGGAACTAAAAAACAGAAATGACTTGAAAATTTGGAAACAAAACAAAGCATTTGAAAAGCATTAAATAAATAAAAAGCATTTGAAAACAAGCCTTCTGCATAATAAAAAATAATATGATAACATGTACATATACGATTATACAAAGTGAGAGAGAAGATAACTTCTCCCCCCCCCTCTTTCAAGACAGAAATTTTAAAACAAGATTTTTACATGCATGCAACATGTGAGCAAATTATAAAAGTTTGGTGAGCTGAAAAAATAAATAAATAGATAAAATAAAATAAAAAATAAATAAAAATCATCATAGCTGATAACATACTTCCTACAATTCTGTCATTAAAATATTTCCAGGTTTCTACGAGGGCCATCCAGGAAGTAGATTACGTTTCCGTCTGTGTCCGCTAGGGGCGGGGCTAGCGCGGCCATCTTGGGGTCAGAGCGTTGCGCAGCTCAGTCTGCATCTAGCCGTGCTAGTGAGAGGTTCGTGCTGTGCTCCGTTCAGATACTGTGACGGTTTGAAATGTCTGCGTTAATTGAAAATCCCGCGAGCTGCGAGGTGCGCTCAGTAATAGGGTTTCTGACTGCAAAAAACTGTAAAACCGATAGAAATCTATCGGCAGCTTCGTGAAGTGTATGGGACAACATTATCACTGAAGGTGGAGTGCGTCAGTGGGTCATAAGATTTCAAAATGGCCGAACCAATGTTCACGACGAAGATCGAAGTGGAAGACCCAGCATAGTGACCGCCGAACTTCTCGAAAAAGTCGATGCTAAAGTCCGTGAAAATCGAAATTTCACAATAACGGAACTTTCTTTGAGTTTTCCACAAATTTCGCGAAGTTTGTTGCACGAAATCATCAGCGAAAAGCTTGGTTACCACAAGTTTTGTGCAAGATGGAAGGCAAGAAGAGGTAACGAAGTGGTTGAAGGCGCAGGCGGGGCGCGAATTTTTCGACGAAGGAATTTCCAAGCTCGTACATCGCTACGATAAATGCCTTAATTTGTATGGTGACTATGTAGAAAAGTAGTATTTGAGTGTGGCTTTCATCTGTATATAATAAAATTTGTTTCCTATACTTTGTTTATTTTTTTATTCCAAAACGTAATCTACTTTCTGGATACCCCTCGTACTTTGAACAAATGTTGGCTTTACAGGAAAAGTTTTAATAGTCCTTTAATTTTCACATATATGCACTTAATTAAGCTTCACCAGCTTATTATTAATCCAAACTAAAGTAATTTCTGGAATAAAATATTACTACATAATTTCTGAAAAGCAAAAACATAAAAGGCCTCAGATTTATATGCAAGTTCTTTATAAAATAGCATGCACTTAATCTCAGTAGAGCAGGCGTTACTTAATGTAATCACGTTTGTCCACGGCTATTTTGATAACATTAATAACATGATAATATTAAAGTGAGAATAAAACAGCAATGGAGTTTAATTAATTTAATATAAAAACATTCAGAAATATATAAATAAGTTTTTTTACAGCATTTTAATCAATGCTGATGAACTATTCATAATGTTTCCAGAAATTATTTGATTGATGCTGTATCCCTAATATTTAGATGGTATCTTTCACTGGAAGAGAACATGGCAGTGTAACTAAATTAAACCTTAGTTTGTTATAGATGTTTCAGGAAATTTATTCTGTAACAGTTTGGTCATATTAACCAAATTGCTGATCATGTAATGTGGTGTATTTTCCATTTTTTCTACACAAACGAGTGGGATTTTGACAAATCAGTAACAATATTGGAATGATAACACTAACTGTGATCACATTCAGCAGCACCTACTGTAAATAAATTTTTCTGAAAATCTTCTCTTTCTGAATGGTTACAAATAGAATGATGTTTTTGATTCTGATCCAAATAACTGATTATTTTTTTTAATTCTGTATTAAGAGATTCATGTGGCCAATATACTGAAGAATATACATACATACCTGATAGTGAGATTGAGAATGTAAAATCACAAAAATTTTGATATTGATGGAAAATTTTTTTAAACCTTTTTTTTTTTTTTTTTTAATTCTAAACTGAGTGTGCTATATTTCTATGGCATAACTTGTCTTGTCAATATATAACTCGCACTTATACATATAAAAGTTTCAATAGAAACAAAGACTCAAATTACCCACTATAATAATTCAAAAATTGTATGAAACTGTAGTTAATTAACATATAATAAATTATTTTACAAAAGAAGTATAATAAAATTATGACAAATATTATGAATTTGCATGTATCACTTGTAAAGAAAATGGGTGTGCCATGATGATGAACAACAATACTTTTTTTCCCCAGTTACACATACATTCTAATTCAAGGATAAGTTGTGATACTTTAGCATATTGAGTTTAACAGTTCTGTGAACAAGTTGTTTTTGTTAAAGCAGCTTTTCTCAGACTGTGGTCTGTGGTGGTCTACAAGTGGTCCTCAAAGCTTACCCTTGTGGTCCTCCTTGATTTGCAATAATGTTTTATTATTTGTAAAAGAAATTAACAAGATTTTACATAATTTCTTGCCAATAACATATGGCCAAGTACAATGGCGTATCTTTCAGATGTATCAAAACTAAATGGGCTAAACCTCTTCTGCAAGGTGATTCCCTGACTGTTGCTAAAGCAGAATAAAGAAATAAAAAGGATTTGAGAAGAAACTTGGTTTGTAAGTAAGTTGTGTAAAACAGGGAAATTGTTCACCATTTTAAACTAAGAATCTATTTTAGTAGGTAATTATACCATTATTGCAAAAGAATTATGAATGACATACGTTCACATCTCGAAACTCAGAGATCAATATTTGAAATTTTCAAATGGTAAATATAATGAATTTTCATGCGTTCGTAATTGCTTCCATTGTGATTTTGAAAATAACACTGTCACCAAATGAAAGAGAACAGGCAGTTGAACTCTCTAATGATTTAAAATGAAATTCCTGAGGCAAGATAGGTTCATTTCTGGACCTTATTATTGGTGAAAACAGAATATAGTGAATTGTAGAATGGTTCTTTAAAAATTATAATTCAGTTTGCTTTTACATATGTGTGTAAGAAAGGGTTTTCATTACTAACTCACATAAAAACAAAGGATCAAAATAAACTTGATGTGTGGGCCAATCTCAGAATTAGGATTATTATAATACATCAAAATTGACTTATATGATGTTGTGTAGTTAAGGGACATTGGGCACAGCATCCAGAGGATGCCAAACTGATGCAACGAAATTTTATATTGAAATCTTTTCCATTCTTGGCAAACAGGAGTGCAAAATGTTCTGTTGTCCGCATGCACTAAAAGTTCTAGCTACAGCTCTCCCTATATGTTCTGAATGCAGATTTAAGCTTAGCTTGTCCTCACTTAAAAAACGTTTGAAAGCACTCTGCTAAAGGATTCCAGTTCAATTGTACAGTTATACTGCAAAATACTGCTTATGAAACTGGTGTACTATATAATATACATCTTGTATTGTATAGTTGTTCTGCATAAAAAACAACTTACATTCTAAAAGAAATTTTCTGGAAAAAATACATTTATTCTTTGGTTACTTTAAAACTGGTCAATGACAGTAAAAAATAAATTCAGCAATGTGAAATCTTATATAAGGGAAAAAAAAATTCATTATTCTCTTCACATTACATCACACACCTTACACAGCAAAATCTTAAAAATTAAAAAAGTGTCATATCTTTAGAATGTTCAGTACAGTCTTAAGTGTTGGCATATATTTTTAGCCCAGAAGGCTATTAATCTCAAGCCTCACTTTTGTTACCTGTTTCACTTTTCAAATAACTAGACAATGGCGCAGCCAGACACATAAAACAATTACTATAAAAAAGAAGAAAAAAATAGATACAGTGCTTTTAATAAATCCAGCTAGTGTCATTTCACAGGTCCAGCTGTTAATTAATAAAAGAGATAAAGAACTATATTTATGCTTTAAAATCGTTTAGTTTGTTAATAAAAAAATTACATATCTTACAGTTCACCAGATGGCAATAAACTGGCAACTAGCAGATAAAAATAATTTATATCAGTTATCCTTAGAATTCTCAACAAAATTCCGAATGTTCCCTCCCATACATTTTTTTTATATAATTGTTATACTCTTTTAAAAATAATACATAGCGATAATATTAGGTCTCAACATCCTTTTATTTGTGCTGCCATATTTATTTATTTTATTTGAGCTCTTTTTTTATATTTGCTATAGTATTTCTTTAAACAAAATACATAGCTATAACATTTGATAGCGATATTTAAAATGTCATACGGACACAAAAGGATGAGGTTTCAGACTAATAACACAGGTTTAGGTAAAAAAGAAAAGGTTTTAATTTAGAACAATACCTTTATGACAAATAAAATATATTTTTATCACAAAATGCACAGATATTATAATAAAATATCCTTACACTTTGTTTACCATTGGCTTCCCATTTCTTCCCCTGGGAGTTAAAGGATTTCCATATTCATCTCTAAAATATGCATATAAACTAACTGAAAAACCCTGGAAAAAAAATTTGCAATGTACATTTGATATATTGCATAGTTTCATTAACATCATATAAAAGCAAAGCATCAATTTTAGAATATATATTATGACATGTTTGTAACAAATACACACATTTAAGAATAAAAAATAACATAAATAAGGATGAATAAAAAATAACAATGAAGTTAATATAATAGTTAATTTTTGTTCCTTTAAAATTAAAGTAACAGATTATATATATATAAATGAACAGAATTTTCATTTCATGAGCAACAGCATTTAAGTAACAGTTGAAAACATAATATATATGAATAAATGGAATTTTTGTTTCATGAAAGTTTCTGGATATCTGAAAAGAAAATGTAGATGGCAAACCATTTGTAAATTTGTAACACTGCAGGAAGTCTTTTGCTAGAGGTAATTGCATAACAACAAATCAACAAAAATCACCTTTACTGATATTCGTGCACAAGATTGTTTTGCAAAAGTGTGTATATTAAATTGATCGGTTACATTAAAATTTAACGTGCATGTTCTTTGCGTCTTGAAAAATTTCTGCAGCTACTATGTTAGTAATTTACTTCTGCTAGATCTGAGTACTCTGAATTTGAAATTAAAATTTATTGGATACCTACCATCAAAAGAATCAAATACGTATCTTTCAGAGGAAAAATTAATTTTTCCTTTTTCTAATACTGAATAGAATATGATAAAACTGTTATCTGTTTCTTGTTCTGGTGCATCATTTTCCCTGCCCAACATCTGTTGACTTGCTTATATAGTCATTTTCAGTGTCTGTTCAATTAAAATAATAATCAAAACCATCTAAAGCAGTATTCTCAATTTGTGGTTCTTAAATCCTATCCTTGGTGTCCTTATAGATTTCACCAAACACACACACATACACAATTAAATTAAATTAAATTAAAAAACTAAAACTAAACTCAGTGGTGTAACAGCCCTAATCGGCCAAGGCCTGCAGTGCCTGAAATCAGCTTTCTTGACCGTGGGCCTTGGGTTGCATAAGCATATGCCCTGAACAAGTGGTCAGCTTGTCGCATGACCCCAGTGTTCAGTTCCCAAGTGAACTTGGTACTCATTTTATCGACCCAAGTGATGGAAATCAAAGGATGAAAGGCTGAGTCGACCTTGCCCAGCCCGGGAATCGAACCCCGGACCTGTGACGCTGCTGCGCGGTGCGCTGGCCGTTGCGCCACCAGGCCTAAAATAAAATTAATAGTTCAAAATTATCACATTTTCCCTCAAAACTGATATTTCATGAAATTTATTAATGGATACCCTATTTACAGAATCCCCAGTCTGACCTTAGCAGCAACAACAACAACAAAAAGATTTAAAGTACCATGACTATGCTGCTTCTTACCAGCATACCTAAGCATAGACCAGCTATGCAATAACTGGTAGGCACATCCATTTCATTAAAGTGAGTATCAATATTTATTTAATTTTATTAATAAAATAAAGATTATCCAAATTATAATATCATTAAAACATTAAAAGCAAATATAATTTTTTGTACTAATGTACTAACTTAATTGATTATTACTAATATAAAATTAAATTAGTGTTAAATGTATAAGAATACTGGTAATAACACAAACTAAAAGTTTGCTTTCAAAGTGCTGTAACTGAATGTTCTAATTTATCAAACTTGAAAACGTATTTCAGTTAAATTTCATGCTTGCATGTTCCATTCATACATAGTTTTCAAACTCAGCCTTTATACAATCGAGGTTCGTTACAGCAACCCCTTACATTCTAAAGAAAAAGAACATTATAACAAGTGGTTACTAGAATTAGAGTAGATTTAATATGATGTCAGGAATTAAGGTCTTTTTGATGCATTTGTTGCTAACAATAGTCATTGTAATGAGTAACTCTTATAATGAGCATCTTGTAATCACAAGTATCAGATTGTGATTACTCTAGCCATCCTTTCTGTGTATATTATTCTGTTCCATCTTTGAAAGGCACATTAAACTGAGGTATCAAATGCTAAGTTTAGCCTCAGGGAATTATAGGATTCATTGGGAACCCATCTTGACATATAACTCAACTGGATTCCTTTCTCCTTTAGTTATTAAAAAAATTGTGTTTGTTTATGGCAAAACATGCAAGGACTACCTGTCTTTAGTTATTAAAAAAATGTGTTTGTTTGGTTATGGCAAAACATGCAAAGACTAACTGTCTAGAGGGAGGGTTGCCTTCGTAGAGAACTTTCTAAGGGAAACTGGATCGTATATATGCTAGGCAGGAGAAAACCACTAAAATGCCCATGCAGCTAGCCCATTACCCAGAATCTGAACCCGGGATGAAATATCAGTGTTCAGGAATTTTACGTTTGACATCTGGTGAACCCAAATCAAAATTTTACTGCAAAATATTTGGGAACTTGAAATCAACTTGAAATTGAGCTATCTTAAAAGATATGGAACATTACTTATTTGAGGGGCCAAGATTCTGGATCAATCTATTTGGTCCTATATCTTTCCACAAAAAAACTGGCAGTACATCGTTTAGAATTAATTAGTGCTATCGTAGCGGCAAGAATGATAGGCTGATGTTAAAACACATTTTGCTATACTGATTTACAAATTATCTTTCACTGCATAAAATGTTCAGCTAATGATTGAAAACTGGATTGTAAACTGGGTGTGAGAAATGCAAGATACTCATTCAAAATAATCGCTATGCATTGCATCTGCTCTTGTATTTTCTTTGCCAAAAGTATTTGGTTATTACAGTTTTTATCAAAATGTCACCAAAAAATAGGTACAGAAATATAACAAAATAATTTATCTCACAGCATTGAAAATATAATGCACTCTTGATTATTCAAGTGTTAATTATTTGGTTTGCAGGTTATCTGTGCATAGCAGTCCCCATGCAAGCACACTCAATGCTTTGCGCAAGAGTGTATCAGAAACAAACAACTGCAAGTCTGAATATGCTCTAAAAATCATTGAGGTTAGTTAATCTTTAGGTTAGTTTCAATGATTACCTCGCACAGTATGCATAATGGATGGCATCATTTCGATTGATAACTGGGATTTTTTTGTTTCAAGGACATTTTCAGGCATATTTTCTTATGATTCTTTTAAAAATTGATTTAAAATTTTAGAGCTAAAAAATGAATAAAGTATTAATGAGCTAAAAATGAGTATCTATCTAGTATTATTACGCATAAGAAAGCTGGCAATAACTGGAATTGTATGCCAAAATATTTTTTAATGTAGAATTTTTTGAAAATATCAATCAGGAAAACATCGAGGAATGATTTGATCGGGATTCGAATGAGCTGGCTTTTGATGCTGGATTGATGTGGATATTCTTTCAAATGAGAAGGGAACCAAACAGTGATGATGAAAATACAAGCAAAGAAGATACTGATAATTACATTAGTCCTGAGATAGCAACGACTTCTGTTGAAACTCTATTGGACTTAACTGACCAAAATCGATTCGATTACGATGATAAAATAGCACTTTGAAAAATACATATTGAAATTTGACACATATTTAAACATTCTAAAAAAAATGACTGTTTTTTTAAGAGATAAACACATGCAATATGAATGAAAATTGATAGATTGGATTATCTGTGCTTTTCAGTTATCCAGTATTAGCTCCCTTTAGCATGGGTAATTGAGAGTACACTGTATTAATAAAAAAGGCCACATGTATCAAAAATGAAATGAGCACAAGTGCAGAATTAGGCAATTACAATTGGCAACAATGTTAGTTTTTTTAGCTACACCTAATTTTTCCAGTTGAGTGACATGCTGTTGTATTCTAAATAATTATCGATGAGTGTAAAGTTTATGAAAAGATTTCAGTTGGATTACGTTTCTAGTCACATTTAATAAGAAGGAATGATGCACAAGGGCACCACAACCATTAACGATGAAAATAATATTATAAATTTTGACTTACTAATGCATGTAAAATTTCATGTTTTACTGTAGATAAAAGAGTATCTAAATCTTGAGGTTTTGTAGATATGGAATTAGGACACAAATTTGCATGACCAGCTATCGGCCTGTAAAAAGAAACATGTATTATTACAAAAGAGTAGTTTTTTGAAATTTGTTTAATATTTAAACTTTCTTAAAAAGTAATTTCATTGTATTCTGAAAAAATGCAAGACAATTTCATTTTATTAATTTAATTCTGAAAAATCAGACCTAAAGATTTAAAAAATTAAAAAAGCATATTATAGATTTGAAATGTCAAAAGTATAAGGAAATTTTGATACTTCTAGAGTGAAAAGGGGAATACAAAAGATTTTGAAGATTGATATTCGTACATTAGAGACTGGGTGATTAAGTTTGCCAGTGTTCATTGTAAGTATAAAAACATAACTTGCACAGATAAATAAATAATAAAGATAAAATATATAATATAAATAAATAATAAAGAGATTGTTAACATATTTGACAATGCAAAAATTAATATATATTTTTGTTACTTAAAGGGCCCCATGCTATTATTATTCATGATATAAAATTGTGAATAATAGCTGTAATAAAATCATTTAATGATTTTTATTATCATTCTTGTTTTAAAAGATGGTGAAACGTTTGTTTCATAACCTGTGAAAATTTCAAAACTTTACATCCGTTACATTTTTAGATGCTGAATTTTTAAAATCATAAATGTCAAATAGTCTAAAAAATCGAGAAATTTTTAAGAATTTCCCCAAAATTCAGAAATTAAGTTAATATTTTCATACATGTTTCATTCAAAAGATTTTTTCTCACTCCATTGGATGATGCAAACAGTAAAATTCTGATGTGCTTAGTTTGTTCCTTAAGCGAAGATATATGCAAAAAATCATTTAAACATTAAATTTAAAAAATCTAAATCAAATTTTGAAACAAATTGCTTCACTCACATTGTCACCTACAAACAGCATGTTTACAAAATTTAAATTAAAAAGCTTATCAAGAAGTAGGTTAAAAATTGATGACAAAATTCCACTCACAGTGAAATACCACAAGTGAAAACATATAAGACTGCTACTTATCATAAGATTATAGACACTGCTTATAATAAGATTAAGTACACAAAAAGAAGTTCTATACTTACCTATCTAGAGCAGCTTCTTGCTGACAATGTGCTGCATATGCAACTGTTTGGCCTTTATGACATCGGTCAGTCTGCATAGCAGACACATAAAATACAAAATCTGCATCCTGTATTCCTGGGCCCTCAGGTATAGAAATTTTGCAGAAATGTCCTGCAGAATTACATACACGGCAAGGCTGTAAAAATAGAAGTGAAAGAATACAGATTGATAGTAGGGCACATAGAACACTATAAAGAAGATGTTTTAATAATGAATAAGAAAGCAATAACATAAATAATTTTTATTTTTGTAACCAAGAATGTTTACTCGAGTTGCAAATTTCTCGTTTACGTTATTTTAAAAGAAGAACATATATGCTGACCTACAATGTGTGAAACGCCAAAATTCTATAGAATATTTAGGAATTTTATAGATTGCCTAGCATTCTTAGGCAAAGTATGAAATATGAGAATCACTATATATTTTCCATAGGCATTATCAGTAGAATTTCATAGAATGACAAATACTATTCAGTCAGAGTATGGAAAAAGCTCACGATAAGGTAGGCTGTTATTTAAAAGATGTGCACTCCTCAAAAATACAAATGTTATTTATTTTGAAAAAAAAAAGAAAGAATGCCATTCAAATATTTTTATCCAAAATACATAAAGAAAAATGAAAGTTGTTTACAACAAAATTTATGCCTCTTTTAATAAAAAAACACAATTTTCATATAAAAAGAATAAGAAATTAAAATTACCCTATTTGTTGCAACATGGTAGGCTTGAATGATATTTTAGCTTTTTTTGGGGGTGACCGGAAAAATGACCACAGGAAAAATGCTCACAGAATAATGCTCACAGGAAAAAAGCCCACAAGGAAATATGCCAACATAGAAAAAAGGTCACATGGAAAAATGCTCACTTAGAAATATACTCACGCGGAAAAAAGCTCACATGAAATATGTTCACATGGACAAATGCTTACATTAATCTTTTCAGGGGCGATAAATAAAAGCATGAAAACTGTAGTAAAATTTTGCATGTACTATAATATTTTATACCACTGCCCCTGTACGACATTTTTTTCCTGTAACTGCTAATAATTAATTTTTGTTTCTTTACACTATTTTTGCATACTTTTGATGTTTATCTATAGAAATTGATGTTTGAAGGTAGTTATTGAAGTTTTGAGCCAAAAAAATTGTAAAATTTCTGCAGAAATCTTAAATTTTAGAAATAAAATTAACATTTTTAGGCACTTTGATGGTGCCTTGAACATTATGAAGCAGCCTTCAAAAAATCTCCTAAGACCACAAATTGTTGCGAAGGCTTTCATAAGGTACTAAATTCAGTATTTAATTGTAGCCATCCCAGTATGTGCTTTTTCTTTGACGGACTGAAAAAAGATTTAGCCTCTCCAACGTTTATTATTAGCTAATGTAAATACAGGGTGTACTGAAGTTAAAAAAAAAGAAAACATGAAAAACTTACATTTGGTGAATTGCGAATCATGTAAGAAACTATGATGAAATCGATGATAAAAATGAAATACTTTAAGTAATTTAAATAAAAAATCATTCTAAATTCTCATTCATTATCTCCTAAATGTTTATATTAAAAAATGTGTAACTTAGATTATTATTTTTTTATGTTTTTAACGATTAAAATTATACTAATTTTTACTGTATAATTCTTTCATGTTACTTCCTTTCTCCTCTCCTTTTAATTCAAAACGGCTCATTTGTTAATCTTATGTAGCAACTGAACCTACACATAAGTTATAAAGTTTTTGAAATATATACCATAGATGTTTTGGTAATTTAAATAATTTTTCTTCAGAAAATTCAAGTAGGTGTACGATGTTCATATCGATTAATTATTGATTCATTAATGTAGAGATATTTCTATGTGAATTATTTATCAGTGGGCTTCTTTCCGTGTGAGCATATTTCTAAGTGAGCATTTTTCCATGTCAGCTTTTTTCTATGTGGGCATATTTCTGCGTGGGCTTTTATCCTATGAGCTTTATACTTGTGAGCATTTTTATGCGAGTATTATTCCTGTGGGCTTTTTTCCTAGAATTTTTTTGCATTGACATGTAAAAGAAATTTCATATTTTGGTACTTTGTTTTATACATATACTTGAATTCTTGGCTATTGGAGGTGAGAAATATCTTCAATTTTAAACAAGTTCTTAGAGCATAAAATTAATTCTGAACTAGCATATATTGATTTTAAAATTCCTTTAGAAGTTTCAAGTCCATCCTCAGTCACACTCATTACAACTCCAATATACTGTGAGAATCAGTTTCTGACTTGTCGACGTCAAGAAGAGAAACTCGCACCGTAGTTCCCGAAGATGCAGTCGGAAATTTTCTTTCCGACCTTTTTTTAATGTTAATCGTTTCATACAATGCCAAACAATTTTCGGCAACCGAAGTAATATATAGGATGCCGGCTTTCATAAATTGCCAGCAACACATACAGTGTACCTACGAAAGTCCTTATCTGTTCTTTATTTTCGTAACTTTTGGTCGTAGACATATATTAATTATAAATATAATTCGAAAGGACGCAAATATTCATGTTGCATTTCTAAATTTGAAAAAAAATCAGTCTTACATAAATTATGAAACCTAACTTTTTATACGTTCCTCCAGTCAATAATAGACGTAAACTGTGCCAATTGCTACTTGATGTTTAGGATCTCGAAAGTTTTATTTATTTATTTATTATTTTTTTTAATTGGCGTTACTTCATCAAAGAGGTCTTCCATTATTTAAATCCAGCTTTTCTTTTAACTTAGAATCTTCATTAATTTCAACAAATTTCTTTTATATTGGAATTGAATTATTTAACAGAATTAAAACTGGCAATACGCCAACTATAGAATTTCGATCAAAATATTCTAAAAAGTAATTGCCGAAGAATGAAATAAATAATTTAGCTTTCAGTAACCTTTGAGATTCGATATTTTTTAATTTCTTCAAATGCGTGAAAGCCAAATAACTCCTCATTATATCAAGATTTAAGCTTATTTCTTACGTTTGTCACAACGATGACAATTACCTACACCATTTTTTTTTCCTCTCTAGTTCTTCAACAGCTAAGCTGAATAGCGACATGCAATGCAGCGAGAACAATAACTGTATCTCAAGAATCGGTGTGATCGTTATAGAACTGCCATCAATTAGAAGCAGTTTGAATAACTAACTATTCAGACCAATCAATGACCTGCTTAAGAAATGAGATGTTACAGAATATTTAGTTTCAAAATAAAGGACATTTGGGACAGTGGTTTAGCTAGAACATCTGCCGCCAGGGTGCAGTATCTGAGTTTGCTCCTCGGATGGTCCATGAATTTTCCGCCCCTCTTCATGAACAAATAAGTAACTTAAAAAAATGTCATCATGAGACATAGGGGAAAAAATTCAAACGTCGTTTATTTTTGTGAGGGGGGGAAAACTTTAATTCCAACATTTCAGAATTATATTATTACTATTTTGTTTGCAAAACGTGACATTGTAGAGGTCTAATTGACCGCTCCATTTACTATTATGTAAACAATATAAAAAATTTCTTAAATAAATAAATAAAAAAAAACCCTGCAATTCTTACTTCAATTGCTGCACATTTTCACTGATGGTTCTCAGTTTGCCTGTCATTTTAAAGCTGATGTGTTTTCTAACCTTTCTTTCTTTTTACGTCCCTACAGAATACATTGGTGCCTCTTTTGATGGTGAAGTAGTAGCCATATGTATAGCCCTGAAGCAATTATCAGCTATATATGACAAGTTTGCAAAGGCAGTCTTTTTTTTTTTTTTTTTTCGATTCTCACGCAGCCATTCAGTCAATTAGTTCTGTTGAACAGCCATCAACACCTGAAATTGTGCAATGTCAAGAATTCCTGAGAACTCTCACTTTAAAAGAGAAATAAATCGTTCACCAGTGGGTGCCCGGCCATTGTGGCCTTTGGCAGTATCTGATTCTTGAGATATCAAAGAGCGGACTTCCTTGTTAAAGAGGTGACAATTTACTGCAACATCCTAATACAGCTACAACATCCTAACATTTCTTATTGGAGGATTAAACTGTTTTTTTTTAATTATTTACATCTAATATCTTACGAGATCTTCAGACTCGTACAGCCTTAAAAAGTTGGAGAATGGTAAGTCCTTCGCTTATTTTCGACAGTCCAACACGCAATTGCGGCAATTCCCAATGCAGTTGCGTCTTTTCGTCTGTCTACAGGACATCATTGTCTTACCGCCCATCTGCACTGCATAGACATTTCAGTCAGGACTTTGTGATTCTGGAGAAGAAATGGACAGGGCCACTTGCTTCGACGTGGAGCTGTTCGTGGTCTTACAGAAGAGTCGAGATACTGGCAGGCAAAAACACTCTTTAGGCAATGACTTCGGTCTTTTGGCTCTTTGTTCTATTGTTTGTAAACTTTTTTTTATAAGATTTTAGTTCCTTGCAACTTTTTACCTAGCCATTGGAAATAATAATAATAATAAAGCTTCTGAAATGAATTTTGTTTAGAAAATTCTTCTCTCACGTTGCAACACTTAAGCCAGTTGTAAGAAACGTTTATAGTAGCATTACGGTACAATATTTGAACTTAGTTCTGGAGACTGTATTTAATTTATTCTGCTTTACTTTGTTTACATAAACTTTGCAGATAGCATTACTGATAAACTGCAAAAATTCAAAAGGCAGACTGCCCCTCCGTCACTCTCTAGTTACGCCACTAATTTGGCATCTGTTCCTGAACTAGAAAATGTACAAGGACAGGAAAACGGATTCAAAGATTATCCTTTCCAAAAGCGGGCGGTTGGCAAATTTAAATATATGAGACATTGAAAGAATAACTCAAAAGAATGAAATACAGAATTACTTCTAAATGTTCCTCGGGAACAATAACTTCGCCGCAAGTGGTGACATTTTCGCAACGCTCTTTGCAGTGCTGAAGAGACGCGTCCCCAGGGAAGAAAGCTTGGTTGTTAGGACATTTTCTGCAATAAAAAGAAGAAAAAATTATATTTCTAGAGATGGAAGAAAAAATATTTGTTTGGAGACGGTAAATAATGATTTTAACCAAAAGCGTAGTAGTCGAGATAAAAGCAAAACAGTTTCGCCATCATTTTACGAAAACGCCTTTTTTTTCCCCACATCAACATGTATTCTAAACACTCGATAGCGAAGATTTTTTTTTTTTTTTTTTATAATAACTCGCATAAACAAATTAGAGACATAATTATCGTATTCCCGCGCATTTTTTCCCCCATTTTTTTTACTAACTTTATCGTTCGAAAATTGAGAGAGGAAAATTATGCGAATAATTAAATTTCGAAAGGACGCAGTGATAGTAAGAACATAACAAATGGAAAGTAGGCATGGATAAACTAAAGGTAACTATCGAAATGTTATGCAGCAGAAAACAAGCATATCTGTCTCATTAGAATTTTCTTTAATTTTTGTTTGCTTAAAATAATTCCTAAAACTACTACTTTTTATACGTACATTGTTTACCAGAGAAGTAAATTATTTACAAGAGGATATTTATTTTTACATCTTTATTTTATATTTAATATCTAGGGTTGCAAAAGAAATCTCAATGATATATAAGTGAATATCATTATTACAGTAAATTAGCAGCGAGTACTATAAGTGAACATTATTATTATAGTGAATTAGTAATGAATACTATAAGTGAATTCACAGTTCAATGTAAATTTCATAGTGAAAGTACTAACAAACAGCCTGAAAAACAGTTTTAACTGCACATACTAGAGGTATACAGTGAAAACAACTTTACAGAATTCCTCCACCTGCTAAATCGAGCATTTCCAATCTTTTTCTGGCATCGACCCCTTTTAAAGGAATGGTTTTCTTCATGGACTCCATTACATTTTCTCTATAGCGGTAGTATTCAAACTCTATGGCAGTTCGATCCGATAAAAATGCAAACGACAACAAAAATAATTTCGCGACACCAATCAAAGCGTTGACTTTTAATTACATATGATCGATTCAGAGTTTTTAGGATTTTTATGTACCTTACGACCCCATTTCGGGTCGCTACTCATAGTTTGTCTACTACTGCTGTATAACAACAAAATCATAATACATCTTATTGCGCTTAAATAACCTGAAAATAACAGTTAGACTAAAAATATGAATAGAAGTCAAAACCGTAAAAAACAACCTTATATTTAGCGTAGGTATAATGAAACACTCAATCGATTTCGAGGGCAGCTAAAGGTCCCTCCTCATCATGGAGAAGAAATACATAGAAAGAAGAAAATAGGAATCACAGAAACACGTGGTGCTTATCAGCACTGCACGTCGGTTATAACTAGATTTTTAATCAGAGTTGCACTGGCCGCCTACTTTTACTGAGCCAGGCTGTCTGATCAAGCATAAAGAAATATTAGCGAAGTTAAAATAGGGAGCGAGGGGGCAAATGCACATTACGCTCAAAATCTGAAACTTCAAATAATGGAAAGCAACCACTGAACGGATTTTTATACCTCTGGTAGTACCAAGCGCGAGGAGGTAAGGTAACGCCATCTATCGGCAAAAATAATTGAATTAAGACAGTAGAATTTTTAAAGGCATTAGGAAGGACTGGATTGGACTTCAAAATCATTAACTAAACTTTCTAAATCTTTGTGAATGTGAAAAGCCTCAAGAAAATCCAATTCGCCTATGGAAGAAGCCTTTTGGATGATTTTTGCAGACCCAAAATCAAAATTATGGTTAAAAGTCCAGCTATGATACGCTATTGAAGGACTTGTTAATTTCCCTTTTTTGACATAAGATTCATGTTCCTTGATACGAAACTTCAACGCTCTTTTGGTTTGGCCAATATATCTTAAACCACACTGACATGATATACTATAAATTCCCCAAGAATTCAAGACAGAAACGCAATCTTTTAGAATCGAAGGGTGAATTTTATTAATAGGGGAGAAACCGACTTGAAAATTGAATTTCTGGAGAATCCGTGCAATTTTATAGCTAACAGAAGGATAAAATGGAAGCACGACAAGGTCATTGATATTATTTCTAACAGTGGAATGTCTTCTTTGATGGGAATCTGAAAATTTTTTGACGGCTTTATCAATAATCACGGGAGAAAATCCACGGTCAATCGCAACTGCTCTCAAATAATTAAGTTCATTGGTAAGCAAAGATTCAGAGGAACAAACTTTTAGCGCGCGGAAAGCATAATAGTAAAAAGAAGCCATTTTTTGCTTAACAGGGTGGCATGACTTGGCATGGGGTGGTAAACAAACTGCAAAGGGTTTACGGTACACAGTGGTGCTAAAATCGGTTTCATTGCGGATTATAAGAATATCGAGGAAGGGGAGAGGAATTGTTGGATTCAATTTCAAAGAGTGAATTGGATGGCTGGATCAATTGAATTCATAATAGATAGAATCTCGGATAAATCCTCTTTATAACCGTCAAAAAGTGCGAAAGTGTCGTCAACCATACCGAATCCAAAAGACGAAAAGATAATTTATCAAATAATTTCATCTCAAAATAGTGCATATAAATGTCAGCAAGTACCGGACTGAGAGGATTACCCATAGCCAATCCTTCAACTTGACGAAAAAATATGCATTTTGGAAAACAAAGTGGGTTTGACTTAGAGAAACTTTAGTAAGCGAAACCAACTCATTAATTTCAGTATGTGTGAAGTGAAATTCCCGAAGCCTAGTTTCAAGACAATTTAGTGCTCCTTCGACCGGAACATTAGTAAACAATGATTAGACATCAAATGAAACCATAATGGAACGAAGTGGGGAAATATTTTTAAGTTTATCAATGACTTCAACAGAATAAAATGAATTTTTTATTCTGTTGGTAATCTGAAATGAATAACATTTTGAAAAAAAAAAAAATACTTATTACAATTAGATTTAATTATTTTTGTATTATAATTATGTTTAATTTCACAGATATAAACAAGTTTTCGGAAACAAAATTACAGAGTTTAATAGTGCAAAAGTTAGATTTTAATTAATCTGTTGGTCGATTTTAATTAAGAAAAAAAAGGGGGTCAATTCTATATATTCCTTTCTACTGACTGATTGATGAAATTGACGTATTTCATGTATCGAAAAGCGCGACTTGAGTATATATAATTCGATTTACAAGTAGCATTGTTCTAACATAGGTATTTTGAGTCAAAATCGAACATGGCGTACCGATTTCTACGACTCATATTATGCCTAGATGTTCTTTATAAAATTTGGTGAGAAATTTACAAAGAAATTAAAAAATTCATCCTGGCTCACTTTTGCAGCGTGCGCCAAAAATAATTAATTCACTTGGCGAAATTTTTTATTTTTAGTAACGTATTTTCTTCTTCCTTTTTTTTTTTCACTGCGCACGAAAGGAAATAAAAGTGCATCGTTCATTCAGTCAAATAACTTTAAAGTATTTGAAAGAATGAACTTTTTTTACGAATGATGCACAAATTGCGTAAATCATATTTGGCGTTATTTGTCGACGCGTCACGAGTTGCTTACTTTAGTTATTGTTTGCTTCAGTTGTTATTTATGGTTACTTTATTTATTATTCTTAGAATAAGCAGTGACATCAACATCTTGGTTAATGTTATTCGGAAAGGGGAAGAAAAATAAAATGGCGAAGAAAAAAGAAGGTCGAAGAGAAAAAAGTGTGACGTGGACGAGTAGCTGCAGTTGAGGGTATTTCAAAAATAATAATTACGTATTTCCTTATTTAGTATTAAAAAAAATCCACACTCGAAAAAAGAACTTAAGCAATGCATTTTATTTTAAACATTTTTGTTATTCTGTTTGTTTCCCCAACATTCGCCATTTTTAACTGCATTAAGAATCATTGTAACCTCGATACCAGTCCAGTTGAGATTACCAAAAATATTACAAAAATAAAAAAATAAAATTATGTTTAAATATATGTTATGTATGTAACAAAATAGAAATAAATTGACATTTCGATTTTAAATCACTATAGGCGCATTCGGATGATCAATGTTTACAAGTATTGTTTTCCAAAATGAGAGTAATCGAAAACAATTTAAGAGCCGTCGAAAAATTTTAGTTCTTTTGGGGCGCTTGCCAAGTTAACGCCACTATTAACAGATCAAAAAATATTATTCTAGAGAGATGATTGGGGATTCAAAACAAGGGCTGAACGTTGGACAGGACACAAGTTGCCAAGTTAACGCCAGTATTAACAGATCAAAAAACATTATTCTAGAGAGATGGTTGGGGATTCAAAACAAGGGCTGAACGTTGGACAGGACACAAGTTGCCAAGTTAACGCCAGTATTACAGATCAAAAAACATTATTCTAGAGAGATGGTTGGGGATTCAAAACAAGGGCTGAACGTTGGACAGGACACAAGTTGCCAAGTTAACGCCAGTATTAACAGATCAAAAAACATTATTCTAGAGAGATGGTTGGGGATTCAAAACAAGGGCTGAACGTTGGACAGGACACAAGTTGCCAAGTTAACGCCAGTATTAACAGATCAAAAAACATTATTCTAGAGAGATGGTTGGGGATTCAAAACAAGGGCTGAACGTTGGACAGGACACAAGTTGCCAAGTTAACGCCAGTATTAACAGATCAAAAAACATTATTCTAGAGAGATGGTTGGGGATTCAAAACAAGGGCTGAACGTTGGACAGGACACAAGTTGCCAAGTTAACGCCAGTATTAACAGATCAAAAAACATTATTCTAGAGAGATGGTTGGGGATTCAAAACAAGGGCTGAACGTTGGACAGGACATAAGTATGTTGGTTGGTCATTTTAATATAAAGCATTATTCGATTCCTTACAGAAGCGGTGAGGGGGGTTACTAGTTAGTTTCAGATCACTTTAAAATGTTCTTTGTCATTCCACATTAGCAGAATAACATCGCCTATAAACACACTTTTATCTTTGCGTTGAAATTTCTACGAAGATTCTGCGGGATTTTCTACGTCAATAAAAAAGTTTAAAATAAAACAGAAAATATTGAAATCGTTTCTTACCTATTTAATCTAATCGGAACGCCCATTGGTCTGACTGAAAGAGTTTTCTGCCAATATTCCAGGGCTTGAGGCAGGATTGTAAGCTAAAAAATAAACCATCTGATAATTAATCTGATATTTTGATACCTTGATATTATCAAACTGATATTCATTCGTGCTGGGAATTATGAAAGAAAAAAAATTATCAGATAAATTAGTATGCATATACTCACATTTATCACTTCAAACTTTTCAGTAGGTAACCTGAAAAAGTAAAATGAAACATTAAACAGAATATTTTTTAAAGGAATCTAGGAAATTATTATTATTTATTATAATTTACTAGATCACTTAAAACAAATCATTACCGTATTTCCTCGCGTATGTTTTCTTTTAGCATTTTAGAAGTAAGTTCTGAAATTTTAAAAATATTCGCATTATATTTTCCTTCCTCTATAGTACATAGTTTTCCCACTGAGGACAAGTTTATGGGTAACTTTTAATCCCTTGATTATTTTTATTCAGTCTATTCAATTTATATAGGCTTTTAATATTTACTGCTGTGGTGTAGTGTTAATGCTTCAACGATGTGATGTTGAACTCCAATGAAAACGCTAATGACGGAACACCACATGAAAATTTTATTGAACGCCAGATATCAATATTTTTTTTAGGTTTTTCTCTTCTGAATTGTATGCAGCCATTTTTTGGGGCGTTCAATGAAATTTTCATGAGGTGTTCCGTCATTACAGAATCCTTGTTACAAGATATTTTGATATATTTGAAGATCCTTGTTACAAGATTAGCATTTCAGCAAATTTTGAATAACCTAGTCCTCCACCCGCATATGGGCACTGGGAAGCCTGAATTTGGAGTTTGTTCTATTGTCTACTTCATATTTTGTAAAGCTTTAACGAATTTTTGGTTTCTAGATTCAAGGATTTCAAAGCCAGCAATGGCAATACTGTACGGGGGGGGGGGAGAAATTATCTCCAACGCGCGAGACTGTCTACCGGAAATTCTAAAGATAGGCTGTTTTTAAATACTTTAGCCCAAATGCTCTCGAAATGTGTATGTGTGTGTAAATGATGGGGAAAAAACCGCTCCTTTGGACGTAATATATTATAAAATCTGTTTTTCTATAAAAGAATTTTTTTAAAAGAGGCTGAAAAAAAAATTCATAGGCACGACACCGAAATCATTTTCATAAAATTCTGCGACTTATTATAAGAAATTTTACAAAATGGAATCAATATAAAAAAAAAAAAAAAAAAAAAAAAAACACTTTGCCTCCTCTCCAAAAAAAATCCAAAACCCATTGGTCTTACATCTTCAGTTTAATCCCCCCCCTTTTCGAATAATCTGAACAATACCATTACCTTGAATAAATGCGTTAAGCTGAGAATTCTATGATTCAAATTAAAAATATTCACAAAACTTTATAAAGAGCGTGTTGCCAATCTGTAAAGCGTAAGAATATTTAACTTTCAGATTTAATCTTTCTTTTTTACTGAGCAGCAAACCATGTGATTTAAAAGCGGTAAATGCAGTTTTAAAACTCTTTTTTAACCTGGTTGATTTAAATAAAAGTGCATTTAGATCATGACAAGTATAATTATAGAAATATCAACTATTTTTGTGAAATGACACTATCTGGATCCATTAAAACCATTATATACTTTTCCCCTTTTTATGATAATTCTTTTAAGCGGATAACAGATCAAGCTACTAGTTTTTAAAGAAATAATATAGATAATAAAGAAAAAAAAACTGAAATGTTTCCGATTTTAAATTACGTCCAAAGGGCCGTTTTTTTAACGTTTTGTGTGTTACCTTTACTTATTAAATATCATGTTCTATGTACTCAAACTATAAAATTCAGTTTAACAGCAATATCGCAAAATAATTTTAAAATGAGCATATCTTTAGAATTTCCGGTACAGAGACTCGAGCGCTGGAGATATTTTTTTTTTTTCCCGTACACTGTTGGCATTGCTCGCTTTGAAAGCTTTGAGATTGCTAATCAAAAATTCGTTAAAGTTTTACAAAATAGGAAATCGATAATAAAATCTTGGTGGCAACAATTTGAAAAGTGAAACGCCGTTTACAGTGAACCAACGCAAAATGCCAAAACGGTAAAAAAGAAGAAGGATAGAATAAAAAGGTATTCTCCTTCCCTCATAGAATGTTGCTATTGCTCGCTTTTAAATCGTTGAGTTTGTTAATCAAAAATTGTTTGAAGTTTTACAAAATATGAAATTGATAATAAAACAAATTCCAAATTTCAAATTAGGGCTTCCACATGCCCATATTCTATGAGAGATTACGTTACTCAAATTTTTGATGGCTCTAGGTACCGCTGTTTTATCACAATGCGAGAAATACCCATACATTCATGCAGATTCTTCATTATTTAATTTCTTTAAATATAAGACAGGGCGATCATATTTGGTGGCAACAATTTGAAAAGTGAAACAACGCTTATCATGAATCGACGCAAAATGCCAAAACGAAATTAATAGTCCTTCTGGGCAAATTGTCCCTTTGGAGTAATAACAGATAATAAAGTTTTTAAAGAAATATATATAACTGTATGGCAAACCCTAACACACGATCAGGTATTCTAAGAATAGGCTGTTTTTAAACATTTTGCGATCTTGCTGTCGAATTTTACAAGGCATAATAATTGCGAAGGAAGTAATGCTCAATAGTAAAGCCAAAAAGACAAAAAAAGAAAAAAAATTGTTGTTAGCAGGAGTGAGTAAACGAGCAGATTAGTAACCCGAGACACTCAGCGAGAGCACAAGAAACCTTAACATATCCCTGGCGCGTGCGTTAAAATCTAAATACTTTTATTTTTTTAAATTTTATTTTTAATCCTCAAAAGTACGACGCGAATCTGTCATAAGCACAATTCCACTTCACCAGATTCCATTTCTAAATAAATTTGAAAAATATTTTTCTTCATTTATCATTAATAGCCGCTCTATACAGAAGTTGAAACAGGAGAAAAAAGAAGAGAAATAAAATTAGACAACCGTTTGCAAGTGACCGCTAATTTATCTGGGGATCTGGCAATGACAGGCCCAAATTTTAGAACGCGCAGGAAACTAGGAAAAATTTCCCCCATTTTCCATAAAGAGGGGAAAAAACAGAATGAAAGAAAAAATGCCGCTGCTTCGATTGCGTGGTTCTCCATTTTTCGCTATCTAAAGCAGCTGACTTTGCCCCTCGTCACAGAAATAGAACGTTTTCTGACGGATTGGAATACGAAAGGATAAGATGCCAATCCACCGTGACGTTCATAGAAAAATTCCCCCTCCCCCCCGCGTGATGACAACTCACTTCACTTCCAATTTCCCAAAACCACACGTGATGCCATTTTAAAGGAAAAGAGGAGGGGAAGTAAATTTATGGAAACGTTTTTTGAAGTGATGGCGCCTCAGAAAGATAAAAATGATGTTGTTTTTTTTTCGTACAGTGTTGCCATTGCTCGATTTGAAATCGTTTAGTTTTTTTAATCAAAAATCCACTGAAGTGTTACAAAATATGAAATACGAAATAAATTGTAAATTAGTCATTGGAAATGTGCAAATTAGTCATTGTATGCATATTAATACAGTGGCCTGTCTCAAACTCAAATTGCACGCGGGCTGAACGCGTGCAATTTGAGCTGAACGAACCATAAAACAACTAACTACATTTTTTTAAATATTTTTTTAACAGAAATTCTTTCATTAACAAAATAAAAATACTTAAAATAAATTAAAAGTTTTTTTCCTAAACATTTATCAGAATATATATATAAATAATAATAATAACACGACAAAGAAAAAATTGAAATTTATATATATTTTCTACAAAATATGGTTCTTGCAAGAAATTTTTGTCAGTTATGCTTCGTAATTCAAATATACTGACAACTAAATATTAAATTTTCAAGCGGACATACATATAAACTAGTTCTAGCACGCTTAACTAATAACAAAACTCTGATGTGGACACAACATGATACGACCTAATAAATTATACACATTCTTTTGCTGCATTCCATTTAAGCCTATTTTCTTGAATTTCTGTAGAGATGTATATTTCTCATTCAATTAATTCCAATTTTCACTTTGTGGCAAGGCAAAAATACATAAAAATTTAAAACATCTAGATTAAAAATTTCAAAATGCAAATAAACGTAAAACACCAAATACCGTTAAAACAGTTAATTTTTTTTTTTTTTTTTTTTTTTTTTTTTTTTTTTTTTTACAATTAAAATTAGAGTTTCTACGCAAAAACAAGCAATTTTCCCGGCGGGCAGAAAGACACATTTTCGGTGCACAAATTTTACTTTTTGTCTCACTCGGCAAAAAGACACTGAAGTTGGTGAACAAACTGACTTAATTCACTATTCCACTAAGAATTTCAAATGCAACCAAATAGCAGCCTCATTAGGCTAAGCACTAATTAAACAACTTTTAAGTTACTAATAATTCTACAACTATTGCACGCAGACATCAAAAGGCATCAAAACCTAACAATATACGAACAACATAATTCAATCACTTTAAAAGCAATAAATGCACAATTTACCAACATATAAGAATAAAAAAATTGAGCTCACTGAGCCGAGTAACAGAATGGGGTGTATATATATATATATATACATGTTTTGTGCTTGGTTGGTATACATATATAAAAAGAAAACAAAGTAATATGCTAAAAACTAAAAATTATCATTTTAATTATGTTTAGTTACAATGTTAGACCTTTTTCCACGGTTTCAATTACTAATATTAATAGGGAATTGAATTTTTTCGATTCCAATTTAATTTTATGTTTATTTGTAGGTGCTTTATGTTTGTATACATATATAGATAAATATGTTTGGTGCGGCCGACTGCAACCAAGAAGGGAGGTGCACAACTACATGTTATTAGCAGTCCCATATACAAAATTTCAACGTTCTGAGGCTACTCGTTTTTGAGTTATGCGAGATACATACATACGTGCATACACATATATAGACGTCAAGAAAAAATCTTTTCTAAATTCATTTCGGAAAAAAGAATCCTTTACTCTGTCCGTATGCAGAGATGTCAGGCGAAAACATCGTTTAGATGGATTCGATAGGAATCAAAATGGATATTTTCTTTGATATATAATACCCGAAATTTTTCACGATTACAATAATTCCTCTACTTCGTACAAGGAAGTAATAATTCACCTTCATTTCAACTAAAAATAAACAAATTAAGAGAACTTAAGTTTCA